GAGTGTATTTTGGCAGTGCTACAAGTTTGTTGACCAACTCATGTATGGCAGTATCAGCACAAACTCGACTGATCGAACAGCCATATATACACATTGTTGTCAGTTACATCGAGTGATTGTTCAAATAGGTCGATTCAGATGGATTGCATATAACCGACTAATCCAGCATCCATCCATTGTCAAACAACCATAATGCACAATACCACCAAGTGTGCAATTACACTCGCACTGATCAGTCGTTGCACAGTATGCATTGGTCAATGTCAAACATATGTGTGTCTGCAACTAAATTGCAGTCCATGACACATCCACACGATCCAACATGACAAATCATGTATTGTGAGTCCAAGATTGATTCAAAACCTGATCATGGTAAACACAGCATGTTGTTGCATATCAGAGTCGATATATCGAGTGACAGTTGCACACTTGCTGATGATGCACAGCGTATCAGTCACAATACATGCACGGTATTGCATTGCAGTCATTGGATGACAGCTGTTTGCAATGTGATACTGATCGACATACATCAGCATGGTGTGATGTGACCATAACCATGGTGGAATGTGTTGGAGTTGACATTGTGAGTTGACAATCGATACACCATGCACATGACTGGAACATATATATTCGAGTGTGGTTTGGTTGGTGTCAGGTTGATCATGCAATCACATCGGTGCAACGAGTGAGTGAGCTAATGGTGATCTGGACCCATTTCAACAACAAGGAATTGACAGTCATGGATTTGCATGCATTCAATATGTGTAGCACACCGAATGATCAGTCATGACAGCACATAGTAGTTGATTGGTGCAATATGATCAAACCATTAGTATAATACACTATGGTTTGGCAATACACGATGTTTATTGAATGAATGACATTGGATGCATGACACATGACAATTAAACCAACATGCAATACACGCTGCATTGTAGTATATTCTAGATGAGACTGTGATGGTTCACTCAACTCCAACATCGTGACGGGTCTATGGTTGTGAAGCTTGCTGCTGAGCATCCTGCTCAAACCGTAAAAATACACTTGAAAAGTAACTGTAGAAAAAGTCAAAACAACTCTTGTACGAGTGATACGATTCCAGGTTTATATTATCGTCAGAATCTGTCACCTCAAACTTATGGTGATGCTCAAAGTAATGTTTAAGCTCCAATTCTTGCTCAGAATCTTTTTTAAGCCTAATCCGATACCCATCAAGAATTTTTTGGAGAATCTCTTGGAGTTCATCAAGAAACTCACGCTGGGTTCTAATATTAGCTTCAAGGTCGAGGTCTACTGATCCTTGACCCGAGGCTCTATTTAAAAAGTCAAAATCTTGCTCCAGATTATACAGCAAGTTTTTTTGAGCTTTGATCCGAGCATCTACATTGTGAATATCTTTCTCTATTTTGTCGATTTTAACTGAAAGTGTTGCGTGTTCTTCGATCATGAATACTCCCTCCAAGCCAATTGAATAGCAATACTTGCCAAACTCATTATATGATTTTAATTTTTTCGGATAACCAAACCTACTAAAAGTGTTCAAGATGCTAGTTTTAGCACTTGCAGTTTCAGTTGCACTGGGAGGAACTGTCGCAGTGCTGACTTTAGCACTCATGGTCGAACTGGGATCAACTGGATTGGCAACTGTGACTGAGCAGACAGCAAGGATTGATGACAGTACGGCAATTGAGAATTTCATTTTGGTGGTTGGTTGCGCAAGTTGTAATGTCATTCAACGAGCCAGTTTTTGAACTATATTTATATCCATTATTGAATAAATGATATTAAAAGCATATTTCTTGGAGACCGTCCTAAGGGATTTGTGTTACTATCAGGGTTGGTGTTGATTTGTTATCAATGTTAAAATGACTTTGAAATACCCTTTCTTTATATAATTGCTTATTGAAATTGGAAACGTAGCATCAGGGTGTGATTTGTGTAGAAATACTGTGTAATGGCACCATAATGCGACAAGGATACCAATGACTTGTATATGATAATTCAGTCATCTATACGACCATTTGTCACCAATACAATAGTATGTGACATGATCATATTGCACCAATCGACCAGTATACGATCACTGGATACATCACACGTTGGTATTTACCACTGCATATGTGTGATGTATATTGGTTATAGTCCATGATATCAACGAGTTTATGCATACTGCTTACACCACGTACATCAAACTGGTTTAGTGATATGCAAGTGTTGCGGTTTGACCAAATCACAATCACCCATATTGTCGACTGTCCAACTCGTTGACATTCAAACCGTGCCATCACTAGTCACAATATAATGGTTGACTGACTTGTTTGGTTGACCTGACATATCGACACTTTGCAAACCTCGACTTGATTCATCAACTTGTATATTCATATAATATTGGGTTTGTATCATCACGTTGGACTCGTTATCAAACACCTTGATGTGTCCATGCAACACAAACTCGATATACACACATTAGTTACTGTTTGACATGAATGGGTTGATCATCAATACCAGACAATGCAACTGTATTAGTTACATGATACAATCGATCATGGTTGGTTCATCACCATCAAATATCAAATGTTGATCACGTATACATTGATTTGTAATTGCATGGTCTGTTGGCAATACACACTATGATATGATTGACAAGTTGTTGATTTGCAGTAATCAGATGTGCATCACCTGTAACATTGGATGCAATTGACGAGTTGTAACCGCCAGTCAACAATCATCGATATGTTGGTGATTGTATTGACTACATGATTGGTATTGATTAGCTGTCATGATCGATTGGTGAGCAATACAATCCACATTGATTATGACGTGTTGCAACTGATTGATATATGCAGACTCGACTGATGATCGAGTATATGTTGATGTGTAACTCTGTCACTGTTTGTCTTGATTGGTTATTGCTACTGCTTGTATATGCAGTGTATTCATGTGTGATGTATTGGATATCGGTGTTGTGTATGTTGAACCTGTTGGATAATATATTGTCATGTCGCATCAAATCGCACCACATTTATAATGCAATCATTGATTCGTTGGTTTAATGATCGACTCGACTCACATTCGACTGTAATGGCCACAAATCTGCATTGCTGATTGACACGCATATATCGACATGTATTAGACTTGAACATGGTGTATATCTGTCGATTATACCAATCACTGATGCAATTGATGATGATCGATTAGTCAATCAATTCAATATCAACACCAATGTCAGTCCATTACCACATGGATACTTGCAATTGTGACTTGTATTCAGCCAGTAATATTGGTTCATGTAGTATATTGTATAGTCAACCATGCACATACACATGCATGTCATTGTCAATTGATGGTCGTTTGTAAACAACTTGTGGACAACTTGCAAATATTACAATCATGGTGATTGCTTGAATGTCGATACCAAGCCATGCGTTTGATGGTCATTTACTGTTCAGTTTACTGTTCAACAATGCAAATGGTCGTTGTCTACCAATCAGTCGAGTCGTAGACATGAACTGCACATTGTGCGTATCGCTTTGTTCATGACCAAACTGTAACAATGTGCACTTTGCATTGAGTTTGAACTGCAGTCTGCGACTTGTACGCATTATGATGCATTGTTTCAATATTCATGTTGCATTCATCAACATCAACGTGCAGTGTTGATATGATGTTTGATGTTGATGTTGTGTTGATATTCCAACAACACTGAATATCGCAAATCAGGTCAGCATTAACCCATGTGATAATAATCCACAGACAGTCAGTTGTACCAAACTGTTGTACAAGCATATTGACATTTGATCGATTGAAAGTAGTATAGATAGAACACCCGATGATAACAGTTTTTTTAACCGACACTTACTGCTAAATCATGTACAAAGTTGTCAAAACATAAATTATTCGCAGAAAGGAATTCAAGTCAAAAGTATTAGGGTAGAATAGTCAATAACTTTGCTTGTAATTCATAATAAATACGAGCTATTTGTGCCAGACTCATACTTGATGCCTCAAATTGGATACAATGGGTAGTTTTTTAACCAGTACTAAGCGTTAATGTACACAGACTGGGTTTAGCTGGATCTTGTTGTAAGAATGATAGAGTATAAAATCAAACCACTGACAAGTCCGTGTTTATCGAGTACGAGTCTTTATATTTCCAATCAACTCTTCCAAATGTGATATTTGTGTCTTGCAATGCCAAAATGGATTCAAATCTGCTTGATTACACTATGCATTTGGACATCATTGCTGATCTGTTGAATTTCACGCTTTCTTTGATCATCTTTTTGATACTCTAGCATATTCCATTCATGATTGTGTCTAGCCTCCAACTCTTGATCCTGGCTCATCCCTGGTTGTTTTTGTCAATACCATTGATTGGAAATAAAGCCACAATCAACCCGCTGTTTATCACGTATGGCTATTTGATTCAATTCAGTTGCAAACAATTCTTTGTAAGAGTATACTTTCTGGTACTCCTTGTATCATACCAGCATCTCTTGAAACAGCTGCTTTTGTGCTTGTAACAATCCCTGCAGTGTTTTATCAGCTGGGAGTTTGGCTCAAGTTTGAAACCCGAGACTATCGATCGGACAAATCCAATGTCAGCAAAACTGCTGTACAATTTGGCAGTCAATTGATTGTCCAAAATTGTAAGCAACAAAACAACTTTTATTTGCAAAAGAAAAAGGAAAACGCAGTTTGTTCTTGAATCAAAATATTAGTTTCAAAACTGTATGGTGAAAAACAGTCTTGGGATTTGCAATTATTTACAAGAAACTATAGGTTTCAAAACCAAAGCGATTAAATTACACGATTGGGAAGTTCTTGACAATGAAAGTGGTCATTTCCACAAAGTGAGGTTTGTTGTCCAATGGAACCCATACGATATTATTCACCTTTAAGAAATCAAACGCCGTGTGTTGTGTAGAACGAGGTCAAGAAACAGAGTTAGGATTAGCGTTATGCAGCCAATAAAAATCATTGATTCTAGTCTACATACCTTATTGATGAGATGGTTCAAACGTCAAAACAAATCGAGTCAACTTCTCAACACTCGCAATAGTATCGTTTTGCGACAACACTCGACCATCTGTTCCGTGGTAGCTTTGGCGTGTAAAACAGGCAAAACGATCAGGAGGTACAACAAAATACAGTTCTGGTTTTGACGGATTACCAAGTATTTCCAAAACATCACAAAGTTCAGTTTGTTTGCAAGGATGATCTTTGGCACCGGTCATTTGGAAAAGTAGATTTGGCTTGATGAACGAATCAACAGATTCAAAAGTATTGCTAATGGGACGGAAATAGCAATTCGTTGCGTCTTGAACTTGAGAATTGTTGGAGAATAACAAAGTACTAAGATCCATTGGCAGTTGAAGTGTAGACTCCAGCTTGGTACGTAAATCACGAATCTTGAATGAACCACCTTTAGCGATGACTGTATGAGCGTGCTTTTCAAATAATACCCTATTAAGTTGACCAGTTTCACCAATTTCTCGAGTAACAGAAACGAATCTGATAAGATGATCTCAGTCTCTGGCATACACACGGTTGTAAATTTCATCAACCACATAGTCAGGAGCAAACTGATAAGGACCACTGTGGAAGCCATCCTTGACTGATATATGAATCAAACAACTTGAAGCGTCTAGGTTTTCACCATATTTACCAAAAGACTTGACAACTGAATCGATATTGGAAATATTTAAAGCTTTGTCGAGAAAATCCTGTTTTTCTTTTACCAATGCATATTTAAGAACATAACGAGCAATTCCTCCCCACTTTAAATACAGACTTTCAACCAATTCTTGTGGGACTGTAGAAAACAGCATTGAGCGACAGGAATGCAATTCTTCTTTTGACCACACTGGCATATACCGAATGTCGCAGGATCCCTTGGAAAACCGATGTCAAATTTCCCAACGAGGTAAAGTAACAAGAATGGTCTTGGCATCAACATCAACAGGTGCCGAGCCATCAACAATGTATAATGTTGACGAGGAATCCAAGATTTGCCAAAAAGCATGCTTTCCTCCTTCGAATACACCATTGGGAGTAAGCAGATATCTTTTTTGATCAACTCCACTCTCATACACGACTGTAGCACCAGAGCGAGCAAGATGCAACAGCAAAAAGTAACTAAAATATGTCTTGCCAATTCCAGGATTTCCAAGGATGATCAAATGACGTATATCAGCAGATTGCACAATAGATAGTGATTTTTCAAAAAGTTTAGGATAACAAGGACGGATGTAAATGGATGATCCAATTGAATGGTTTCCAAGGATGAATACGTCTGCTGGAAGTTGGACAACAGTGTTTCCTTCAAGAGGGTTAGGGTAGTTTGTGAAAGCAGTCCAAAAATCCAGTAGTGCGGGTGAGGCTGCTGCAGATGTTGGACCTAGGTCAGTTTGAGTAGGTTGTCTTGGAGGTAGAGGTAAACAACCAATAACAACACAAAAACCATCTTGAGTAAAGTATTATTGAGGAAGAGAGTCGAGTAAAGCCCAGGTGTTGATTAGTTGGCTCTTGTTACTGTTGGTGTAGAGTTGCAGTTGAGGAGCATCAATGTCAGCCATAGCAGGACCATACTCAGACTTGATAGTATCCTGAACGTCACTCAGGTCTTCAAAGTCAGTCACATCGATTTCAGTAGAAATAGTGTTGTATTCAACATCGAGGTATCGTTTTGGCATTTTATGAAAAAGAAAAAGAGTAAAAAAGCAATTTATTTGTCAAATTGTAAAACAAAAATCGACTTTTTAATCGAGTCAAAATAACAAAATTTTGGGATATTTCAAGACAATTCACACGATTTAAATATTTGGAAATTAGTCAAATTTACACCAGAATTAATGTCTCATTAATGTGAGACATTACTAGTGTGAGAGTGTTGACTTGCATTGTGTGAGACATTAGTAGTGTGTGAATGTGAGACATTTCTGAATAGTTTAACAATCAAAAACCATCAACAATGACGTTTGAATTGGGATTCACATGACTTTCTTGGTTTCTTCCATTTTATAAACACACTCACTTTCTTGTTAATAAACAACACAATCGAATATTGATTCATTCCATCACATCTTCAATCAACTGCAACACACTTGCCAATAATGACAACCATCAATATGCCATCATATGTTCACGATCCTCAAATTCAAAAGTCAATTTGAAAACCCATTTTTAAGCATCTACAAGTCTGCAATATCAGATTTGTGGCTGATACATAATAGGTTGCCAATAAAAGTCGACAAATTGAGCAACTGCAATGTGCCTTGCTGTATGATAGTAACATATCAGAAATTATGAATACTTTCAAAGTCAAAAGTCTGCAAATGATGTCACTGCTGGCTTGTAGCCTCTGTTTACAAACCTACAATCAATATATTCACTGGATTCGTATAATGGTAAATGCTGAACCACAAACCGCTGATGATATTATTATGGACGATGCTCATATTATTGGAAATCAAACGATTGGTGCAGTTTCAGATGCTGTTTCATCACACAGAAAGTCTTGCTACAGAGTCTGAATCCAATAGCAGTGAATCTGCAGTTTGACACAACACAGTCAATAATTATCGTTTGAAACTCGAATCAAATGATGATGTTGCTGTTTCAGATGCACTCAATGTCATCAATGCAGTAACATTGAAACCAACTCAAATCATTGATCATGAACCAATTTACCGTGTCTTGATAAAAACACTGATAAACCATCATTCATACATGAGCTTGTCAAAAGTATGGACTGATTGCTGAACAGATGTTTAAAGTGGAACTCAAAACAGTGCAATTCAATGTGCAGCTTTCCCACGACTTTCCCGCTACAAAAAATACAGTCTTGGAACTCAAAGTGTACATCAACAATACTTGTGTGTATTGACCATCAATGATGTTGTTGGTGTAGCATACACAATGTGCATTGCAGAAACGCTTGTTTGTTTGCTGGAGCTATTTCAAGCAAGCAAAAATACTAAAAGGTTCAGTTTGATGAATGTCTGGTGTATATTTGCAATGAATTCAAACTCGAGAGATTGTCGTATTTTGCATACAAGACATACTACAATATATTACAACAATATCGTGTATTTCAATATGCACCCATTCGATTTACAACAGTGGCATAAACATCACATTTGAACAATGGTTCAGTCGTACAAAGTCCAATAACAGCCATGAATTGTATCAGACATGAACATACTGGTGCAAAATTCACATCAAATAACACACCGCAACAAACATGTTTCTGGTAGATGGTGGAATTGATGTCATTGATTTTCAAGTACACGATATTGGTGTTGAATGATTCAATAAACTATACTCGTCGACTTTGTGTACTTTTTTCAGTTGCATCGTTTCTGATTCCGAGTTTAAAGCATAATAGTTGCGACAGCGCTGTTGTCCAATTTGCTTGTTTTGTGAATAGTAATCATGATACCACTTGTTTGACGCTTCTTGTTGTTGAACTGGATATGTATGTCAAATTTGGATGTTAAATATGAATGCATTGCAAGTAATTGTTGTAGTTTTTGATCGAGTCAATGAATGGCATTTATAGTTGCTCTAGAAAACAAGTTGTTTGAAATGTCCTGTCATATGTCATATGTTTTGTTGTTTTCATGTTCACTAATTGTTGATAATGCATCCAATTGATTTCTGTTTTGACACTGATTATTTGTCATTGTTGGATCTGGGTTTCTAGATTCAGTAACAAACGTTTCAGCAATTTGGATGTGTTCAAATTCATAATACTTGCAAGTCTGAATTATTTGATCATCATCTGAAATTGGATACGAGTAATCATTTCCACTAACCACAGTATACATAGTATACACAGCATTACTGTATATTGACTTGTATTTTACTCAAAGGTTTGTCCATTCAGTATTCCAACACAATTTCCAACACTGATTGAATGGTTTGCAGTGTTTGTTTTAATTGAACCACTTGATGGATCACTTTCATATCTTGATTCAGCAATATCACCAACTGCACAATGATGGATGTGATTGTAGTCAAACACAATATATTGCAAGGCATTAACGTATTGGTTAGTTTTAGTATATTCTTGATAAAAGGCAATGCTGTTTTGTAATGGCGTGTTGAATCCTTCAATCAAACATTGTATGTTGTGATTTCCAACATTGACAGTGACATGGCAAACACATTTTGCTTGTGACAGACTTTGAACAAGTGTATTGCTCCGTTTGTTGTACAATACACGACATGGTTAGTTGGTGGTATCATGCAATTGACAAGTGATTGCAAGTATGACTGATAGTTACAATCAACACTGATTGTTATCATGTCATTGATGTATATGGAACAAACCATGTCAATGTATCAATCAACAATCCAGTAACTGTTGATGTAATATCCAACACAGTATACAATCAATGATATGGTTGTTGACCCATTCACAATACTCGACAAGTATCAACACATATCAGAAAGTTTAAATTTATTCAAAATCAAATTCATCGACACATCATCAATCTGGGTCTGACTCATCAAATTCCAAATCATGCTTTTTCATAAACTGTTTTAATTCATATCTGGCATTGGTTACTTTTTTAACCAACTTTTTATACTCTTGTTTTAATTGCTTTTGAACGTTTGGATCGTATTTTGATCCAGATATTTCTTTTCCCATTGCTAACGTCATTTGTTGTTCGAATTCAAGGTCTACATACCTACGATATTGTTGCCATTTTTTGTCTCGTAATTCTTTAAACGCTTCAAGTCTTTTCTTCATGCGATTAAAGGTTCTCTGATATTTTTGACTTAATACAATCACTTGATTTGAACTAGTATTGGCAGATTCGTCTTGGTCCATTGGTTGTTGTTGGTCTTGACTGGAAGTACTTGGAATGGGTTGATTCATTGGCTGTTGTTGGTCTTGACTGGGAATATTTAGATTAATTATAACAAATAGTGGTATCCAATATTTACCAGAAGTACTTGGATTAGGTTGATCAATCGGTTGTTTTCGATCTCGTTTTGGAGTGTCTGAACTGGGCTGATCAATTCGTCGTTTCCGACTTTGTTTGGGAGTGCTTTGACTGGGTTGATCAATCGGCTGTTGCTGATCTTTGTTGGGAATATTTAAATCAGTTGCATCCATTAGGTGTTGCTGGGTTTGATTGGGAATACTTGAACTGGTTTTATCAGCTGGTTGTTGTTGGTATTTGTCAAAAGTGTTTGGACTGACTTGATCAATTGGGTCAGGAACTTGACTGGAAGTGCTCGAACTGGGTTGATTCACTATATTTTGCCAGTCTTCATTTGAAGTACCTGGATCAATTGGATCTAATATGTTTCGCCAGTTTTCGTCGAAAATGCTTGAATCAAGTTCATCCATTATGTCTTGCCAGTTTTGGTCGGGAATCTCTAGAATAAGCTCATTAGTCGGGCCAGATACTTGACTGGAAGTACTTGAACTGGGTTGATCAATCGGTTGTTGCTGGTCTTGGCTGGAAGTACTTGGATCAATCGGATCAAATATATTTTGCCAGTCTTCGTCGAAAATGCTTAACTTAACTGCATCCACTATACTTTGCAAGTCGTTGGAAGTGCCTGTATTAGGTTCATCAGTTGGGTCAGACACTTGACTGAAAGTGCTTGATGCTTGTGGTGAACCATTGTTATCAGCCGATATCAGTATTGCATTGGCGGTTGCTGCTGCGCTCAATACGAATAAAATATCAACCAATTTCATTAGACTGGTCAATGGGTTTAAACTATTAATACAAAAGTAGAGTGTCGAGACTGGTGTCGATTATGAAATTGAATGCATTGTATTTTTGTATGTTTTGTATAGAAAACCAACCCTAACCCTTTTAGGTTAACCAACGACACAGGGCTACTTGATTGCTTGTAGTGAGCCACTATCAAACTAGACAGTATAATTCTCCCTATTCATATCGATTAATTTGATGATCATGCCGATTGAATTATGCTTTTACGACCCTTTGATCAGGTATATTGAAAAGCACACCCTTCATGAGTGTTGTGCAGCCACAAACACTTTGATTTACAATCGTATTCATTGTGAAATGACTGTATTCTGCATTGCAACATACAATGGTTACTACACATTGACTGCATTGCGTGTTTGATATACAACGATCATCATATGACACACAATCAGACTATAGTGTTAAATCTACACTTTGTGCACTCTTAGTAGTCATACATTGTACGATCAACAAGTTTGAACCCACATTCATGTATCGTGTTTAATTGTCAATGTTGTCAATACAACTCTGCACATTTATTGTATTCTGAATCACAGATACAATCACAATCTAGTTCAACAACAATCATGACACATGTCAGTAATACAACTGCTGTTTGCATGCCAACACTGTTATTTAGTAATCCATTTACATCAATATGGCTGCAAGTTGTCGTTATATCACGTATTCTGGACATGGTTTTAATATTGCACATCCAGTTCCATCACATTGTTGCTGGCACATCATTGTAACGCTGTATGTATCAAACACTGGCATGTACTCATAACCACAACCAGCAAAATGACACTCGAGTTGTTTACTGTGGTCAGTATATACAACCCAGTGCGACTACACATACTGGATCCAGTATGTTGGTTGTTTCAGTTGACTTTGATTCACTTTTGATGTTTTGTCCGAGATTGACAATACAAATGTGTCAAGCTGAACCCAAACTACACGACTTGACTGTTCATGTCAATTGGATCGTGACTGAGCTATGCGATCATGATGCGTATTCAATCCATACCATGTATTACCAATGCAATAGCATGCGTGACCATCGTGTATCAAACAACTACGATACACACTGGACTGATCCAATACATGCATGGCTTGGACATATCACACAATCAAACATGAACACACCACATTAAATATACGTATAGTATCAGTTTGTCTATAATGAATTGTATTCAGTCGAGTTTATTGAGAGTCTGTTTGTGACTCTTGACAGTGTGGTGGGTGTTTTCAGGTACAGCTACTTGATTAGTTGTAGTTGTTGGTTTCCTTCTGCGAATAAATGTGCCATCTGAACCTGAAGTACTTGGTTGTTTAGGCAATCTAACAGTACCCATCAAATTCATGATCAGTATATCAATCGACACATACACACATCAATATCAAACAACTTACTGTGTTAATGGCCAGAGCACCTGATCATTGTTTGAAATAGTAGGATATCCATCAGTCACAGTTTCGCATCCACATCCAGGACCAAACCCAATGCGTGCATTTTGTAAATCAAATGTCAATCCAAGTCGGTTCATAAATGGTATACCAAGAACTGCATAATCATTTGAACCAGCTTTTACAGCAAACACCACTATAATTCAACATGTATGTCAGTCAGGTTAATCGAACAACATATTGCATACAATTGTCAAATATTTACAATTTTTAGAATCATATCTTTGCATATAGTCTTTGGGACCCAGTTCGATTGTTACAACGGAGTTGCTATTTTCAACAGTTACGGGTTTTTCAGCAAACATTGTAATTGTAAGCGTCGGCATCATATTCCAATCGATACTAAAACCGGATTCAAGCATTGCGTAGTTTTTCAAAAATATTTTTTCAATTTCTCTCGAGTTGAGTTTGTTACTAAGCATAATTTTTTTGACAGTGATCGCACCACTATCAACAATAGCATCAACCAACGTATCCACGACTACTCTAGGGAAATACATATATGTAAGGCATGTTTGTATAACCGAATACAAAGTACGTCCATCTTTCACCCTTTTTTGAAATTCAGCCGGCAGCTCCACTGGTTTCTCATTGACTAGTATACTCTTGATGTTGATACTAAATTGATCATTTGATGGTGATCGTACCCATGCAATACTCCTTCCATCCGTTCCGCATTTTGCAGTTACTTTTGTGTTTCCTATATTGATGAAGCTATCTGAAAGCATGCCATACGGACATAGTTGAAGACCAACCTCATTTTTAGGAATGTTACCATCTTTGTACAAAGCATCCATCGCAGTGGCTGGTGAACGACGCTTTGAAAATGAGGAATAGGCAAACCCAAATACTCCATCAAACTCTGGATGAATACCAACTAGATCCTCCGATTGTTTTTCAACTGCTAGCACTGGTAAATTCGCGCCAGTTATACTAGTACCCGGAATCGTCACAGTAGCTGTGGATGTAACTCCATTATACTCTTCGCCTTTGTAATATATAGTAACGGGTTGTCCATTTGAAGTGTGTTGCGGAGTCAAACTCACATCGCTGCTTGAACTAGGAAGTGGTACGACTATATTAGAAATTGTTGAATCGACTTGTAAATTCAACTATTTTAAACGAGTGAGATTGATTAAACGTGGTGCAAACTGATATCAAACTACAATGCATGACATGATACATACATTGACTCCATGAACATTAAATCTCATTGTGTAACATTTTGTAAAATCACCATCCAATTGAACGGGTGATCGTTTTGATAGCCTATTGTTTGATTGACTGGCACTTTCAAAAGGTGAATGTAATGCAAGTCGAACTGCAGCAACCGCCTGCAACGCAAGTATAACGCATTCTAGAGTAATCAACATTGTATCGAGTAGTGTGATGAAAGTGTCGTGAATCTGATACATAACTACCATTTTATAATGACGACAGCTTCAAGGGTGACAATCAGCACTTTTCAAATGTACATTTAGAAAACACAAGTACACCATGTAGGGTGAGGAAGCCCAAAAACACCCTGTAGGGTGGATTAATAACAAGCATTGCTGTTGGTGTATAATTGACCTCAGTAGTATGCTGCGTTGATCTCTCCAATTGCGGTCATCTATCCAGTAATCAGGTAGTTATCATCGCATTTACAATCCATTACCACAACATATGCTGTCACTGTATACCAAATATTTGACTGATTGTTCAATTGGTCATGTATTTGATCTGTCCGAGTGATTCAAACCATGTCGAAATGGTTGTTGAAATATAAATATATATCATCCAAAGTTGATTCAGATTGTCGCTAGCTGTAATCTGTTGATCTGTCAATGTGTGACCATGTGTCAATGCACACAGTAAACTTGAAACCAACTTGCATAGTTGTCAATGTTCAAATCAAAGCCGCAAAGTTTCATTCTATTTATCATTGTTCATGGCTCATGGCTCACGGATAGCTGATCAATAAATCACATTCGACATGATTGACATGATTGTTTTGTTGGACATATCTCAGTAGATTTGTTTAGTTACGATTTCAATCAATTCAACAGATTTGGAAATAACAGTGGTAGCGTAGTAAATGGTTTTAATAGCAGCAATTCATATCGATTTTGCAAGATTCATATTTTTGATGTAGAAAATCATGGTTTGTAACAACTATTTGTTGTGTATACATCATAAACTATCAACCATTTTCTCATGCATCAACACCAATGTACAGTGTGACATGGTATGTTGAATAGATTCAATGTTGATTCAATGTTAATTCAATATTCTCAAGTTGTTCACAAACGACCATCAATTGACAATGACATGCATGTGTATGTGCATGGTTGACTATACAATATACTACATGAACCAATATTACTGACTGAACTCAGGTCACAACTGCGAGTATCCATGTGATAATGGATTGACATTGGTGTTGATATCCAATTGATTGATTAATCGATCATCATCAATTGCATCAGTGATTGGTATATGCAACTGATATACACCATGTCCGAGTCTGATATATTCCTGTCAATCAGCAATGCATATTTGTGACCACAAGTCGAATGTGAGTCGAGTCGATCACTAAACCAACGAATCAATGATTGCAGTCTAAATGTGGTGCGATTTGATGCGACATGACAATATATTGTCCAACAGGTTCAACATACACAACACCGATATTCAATACATCACACATGAATACACTGCATATACAAGCAGTAGCAATGACCAATCCAAACCAACAGTGACAGAGTTACTCATCAACATATACTCGATCATCAGTCGAATCTGCATATATCAACCAGTTGCAACACGTCATAATCAATGTGGATTGTATTGTTCACCAATCGATCATGACAGCTAATCAATACCAATCATGTAGTCAATACAATCACCAACATATCCATGACTGTTGACTTGTGGTTACAACTCGTCAATTACATCCAATGTTACAGGTGATGCACATTTGATTACTGCAAATCAACAACTTGTCAAGCATATCATAGTGTGTATTGCCAACGAGCCATGCAATTACAAATCAATGTATACGTGATCAACATTTGATATTTGATGGTGATGAACCAACCATGATTGATTGTATCATACAACTAATACAGTTGCATTGTCTGGTATGTATGATCAACCCAGTCATGCCAAACAGTAACCAATGTGTGTATATCGAGTTTGTGTTGCATGGACACATCAAGGTGTTTGATAACGAGTCCAACGTGATGATACAAGCCCAATATTATATGAATATACAAGTTGATGAATCAAGTCGAGGTTTGCAAAGTGTCAATGTCAGGTCAATCAAACAAGTCAGTCAACCATTATATTGTGACTAGTGATGACACGGTTTGAATATCAACGAGTTAGACAGTCGACAATATGTGTGATTGTGATTTGGTCAAACTGCAATACTCGCATATCACGAAGTCGGTTTGGTGTGCGTGATGTAAGCAGTATGCTTGCTGCATTATGATATTATCACAACACATCCTTGAAATTACTAGCCCTAATACTACGCTTCCAGCTTCAATAGTGAGTCATTGTGTAAAGGGATTCTTTGAAAGTTATCTTGACACTAATGACAGTAAACCGCTGTTATTAACCCTGACCAAAACACAAGTTCCTTAGGAAGGTAATTCAAGGAACATGCTTTTAAAATTATCCGACCAATAACAAGTATAAATACGACACCAAACCAACCTCTTGAATGGCATTTATCACACCCTGCTCAACAAATCAATATAATGAAACTCGCAATCACCGTTTTATCATCGATATTGGCTGTCTGCTCAATCACAGTCGCCAACCCGATTCTTACTACTGCTACCACAAGTACTGAATCTAGCACTTCAACAGTCATTCCCAGCTCGACTACAAGTGCTGAATCTACTCCTACTCCAATTTTTGATCCAAAAGAAGTCAACTGTGACCCATTTTCGTCGAACGAAGTAGTTATGATTCAAACCTACGCAAGAGATAGAATGTTTGCAAAAAAAGTAGGTAAAGAGCTTAATGAAAAAGAATCGGAGGCTATAGCTCAAAGAAATTTGATAGTTCGACTGAAAAGACGCCTTGAAGATTTGAAAAGTAAACCTTGGGAAAACGGTGGCGCTTCAAATTATGGAGAAACGGTTGAAAACCTTGAGAATGAGATTAGTCGTCAGATTACCGTTTATGAAGGTCTCAAAAAACAATCGGATAATCTCGATTCGATTTGCTTTGATGTGGGTCACAGGGTGACCGATTCTGAGACACAACTTATGAATCTTTCGCCGAGGTATCGTATAAATACAGGACCACGCCATGAGAATATGACACTTGAAGTATTCCTTCCTGGATTTACAAAGTGCGTTGTTGAAGTAAACAGTGTGTTACTAGATATAATTGCAAAACATGGATTCAAAGGACTTTTCCCAAAGCCCGAGACCGATAGTTCTGAACCCGAGACCGAAGAAAGTCCTGAACCCGAGACCGAAGAAAGTCCTGAATCTGATGAAGTTTTTTCAAACGAGGATGCGACCGAGCAACAAAATCTTGACGACTTCAAGGAAGAGTATGTGGATGGGCGAGATCTTCAAAACCATGAGGAGGTGGATGAGCAAGATCTCGAAAACCATGAGGAGGTGGATGAGCAAGATCTTGAAAACCATGAGGAGGTGGATGAGCAACAAGCTTCCGATTCTCAACAACAAATTCCCGATGCTCAGCAATAAACTCTTCAACCAGACTTGTCACATTGTTCCAGCTCAGTGGGTTATCAACAATTTCATCTAGAATATACTACAATGCAGCGTGTATTACATGTTGGTTTACTTTTGATTTGTCATGCATCCAATCTCACTCATTCAATAAACACCTTTTATTGCCAAACCATGTGTATTAGACTAATGACTTGATCATATTGCACCAATCAACTACCATGCATTGTATTGATCATTGCAGTGTCATTGCTAGATCCGTGCGATTGTGTATATTGTCATTTTGGGTTACCAATCAACCCACTCCATTTGACACCAATTCATTGGTATCACTGGACTATTTGATACGAATGATTCGGCTGGTTTTGACAATCTGACAGTATCCACAAATCCATGTTTAATATTTGCACATATTCCATTGACATGCTACAAACTGACATTGAACGTCACATCACATTGTTTTGGTCTTGAATGATACGATATGTATCAACCGATGTTTTGTATCCACATCCACATCCAGTATATACAACAAATCTGTCCATAATTCAACATATCAGCCATATTTGATTTGACAGTCACTTGTCACATTGTTGTGTACTTGCAATGATCAGTATCAATCATTTGCATGTAGTCAGCTGTATAGTGTAATGTATGCAGTATGATCACATAGCATGTCATCTGGTGATATAGCATACACTACAACCACAACCAGAAACATCGATCGTCGTCCCAATCAATATCAACAGTTGCATCAAACAAATCCACAAATGCACAACTCGGCGAGTGCAATGCATACAACTACAACATGTGTATAAGAATACCGATCGTGTCCAACTACAAGCTATGTATATTGAAACTATTGGATAGTATTTGCTTGACATTGCCATTGATAGTCAAATAGTATTGCGAGTGACCCTATGCATGCAACATGGTTTACATGGTTGACATGTTAGTATCGACTGTATCAATGTGACTATATTCCGGTATACACTTGCAGTGGTAAATACCAAAGTATAATGGATTCAGTAATCGTATACTGGTCGATTGGTACAATATGATCAAACACTATTGTATTGATAGTAAAAAGCGTTTATTGAATGAGTGAATGAATGAGGTCGAGTGTTACAGGACAAACGAGATAAGAAAAAATGTTTCATCATGCAACACATACCATTATATAGCACACTCTAGACAAAGTTGTTGGTATTGTGATTTCAGTTTTACAAAAGATGAAATCGGACCACTAAGCAGTCTAGTGTCCAAATGCTGCTCTATTATACACTTTGAGTTTTGGTAGTTCGAATTTCTTGGTTTTGATTTTGAGTTTGAACTTTGATTTGCGTTTCTGAGTTGATTGTTCTCCATTCTCATTGCTTGCTGATGTAGTAGGTTGACTTTCATCATAATCACTTGTTGATGTAGTAGGTTGACTTTCATCATAATCACTTGTTGATGTAGTAGGCTGACTTTCATATTCAAAGATTTCATTTTCAGTCGCAAAGCTTACTTTAGGTTTCTTTAAACCGATATCGCGAAGTAACCGCTGTAGGAAATCCCTAGAATTACCTTGCTTTGGGTCGTGTTTTCCAGGAATAAACTCGGTGTTTCCTGATTTCAAGCTGGATTTTAATTGTGGGGTAGGTTTAGATATAACCTCTATTGATCCTTCTTCAGGAGGCTCAAGATCCAGCATGTGGCGCTCCCATTTTGATCCCAATACTGCCTTTCGTTGATTCATTCTCATACCATCAGGAACGTCATGTCCTTTCCAATCATGATCCATCAGAATCTGAAAAAGTTCATCGCTCATATTATGTGGATATCCCTCTCCAACTTCGCTTGGAATCTTCATACCAAGATGTTTCATGGTTCTCTCGAGTCTCTTGAGTTTATCCGATTTTTGCTCAGGCGTGGGAATAGACCATCGACTTTCCGAGGTGCGACCTTTAGGAGATTCAACATCACTATGAGATATACCACCATATGCATCATCTGACTGTTTGGACTGAGAGGGTGACTGTGATTCATTGGACTCGTCGGCAGAGCTGTTTGAATCATCAAGATCTATAGTCGACTGAGCTACATCATGATTGGTTTCAGTAGATTGTTGTTCTGTTCCAGTTGAAGAGCAAGCATCAGTGTGTTGCTGCATTTGAGCTGAACATTCTTTTACAGCTTCTGATTCACTGGTAGACGGACGATCAATGACTACTGCACTGATGGTCGTCGACAATAGCGACAACACAATAACTGATATGAATTTCATCCTGTCAATGAGAATGAATGTGATAAAGTTTGTCAATTCAGTAGGTCAATCCTTGGTAATGAATGGGTTGGTTGTGGTTATGGACCACAAACTGCCTTTATTTAAGTACTTTTGCGACAGTTAAGAGCATGATCAAGGGATAAGGGACATATAAGCTTATGCAGGGACAACTCGGCTTCTATTTAGGTATACATAACACAAATACTCATGTGTAGGTTCCTTTATACATATAGCCCTTCAACTTATTGGATGAAATAGGATACACAATTAAGGGACTAGATAGCTTTGATTTTTCTATTAAAAAATGTTGAAATGGGCTGCCAAAGCTGGTTAGTCTCAAGTTGGGGCTGGTATAACGACAATGGCTTGTTCATACAACAGTTGGCCAAATATCAACAGTAAAATCTTTCAAGCAGCCCTGTTTCGACACAATTGATATCAATGATATACCATTATACTACAATTCTGCATGATGCAGTATGAAACTGACAATCATGACAATATTTCATTCGTCAAAACTACGACATCAATACTTTCAACATGGCAAATCCAAGACACTCGATCATTTGGAAATTTTAACGGGATTCCGCCGCCTTGTGAGTTGTTACTAGGGAGACTTTGATGGAATCCCGCCAACACCATCAACTCGATATACACAAAGTATTCTGATTTGATCTCGTCACAGGATTAGCATACATGTCTTGGATTCACTACACTTGAACAAACCATTTCAATATTATCCAACACATTAGACTATTGACTGTCATTCAAAAAACCATATAAATCCTTGTATTTTTGTTTATTAAGATTTGTAAAGGATGAGCTTGAATTACCATCAAGATAGCATCTATTTAAGCAATACACAATATGCATTTGAAAGAGTTGAACCAATCATGTCAAACTGTTTTAGCAATGGATCAGGGCTCAAATAAAGCATCAGAATCTCGGATTTTGGGGAAACGACCTTCAACAGCTGGCGTGATGGTTCCACGACGCTCAATGCACATTGCCAATGAATCTGCAATCAACTCGTCAGACTTGTAAGCAATAGGCGGTATCATGTTATCACCTCCTTCTGCAATATAATCCAGAGTGTAGAAATTGTACAAGGTATCCATCTCCAAAGGTTTACCGCCTACAAGAACTTTGGTGATTTTGCTACCAATAGGTTTCTTGGAGTCAAAATCAAACGTCAAGCCAGAATACTGAGGGACAGTAATGATACTTTTTTTCAAAATGGGATTGTACATGGCTGCAGAGTTTTCAAGAAGTTTCATGATTTGCTTGCCCGAGTATTTAAAACTTGCGACCACACTGCCAAACGGTGCAATGATCATGATATCGGCATGGGACACTGGTCCCTTGAGAATAGATGCTCGGATTGCACCAGAGTTCACCATGGCGATTTGAGCACCTTCCTCTTTATGATTTTCAATCATACAATCAGTCACTAGATTTCCAAATGCACACTCACCAGTAATGCAGTCTTCAACAAGGAAATCTCCCAAAGATTTGCCAAGAATTTTTTCAGAAAGACTCGAAAAAGATTCACGAAGCTTATCTACTTTGGCTTGATATTCGGGATTGGGCGTAAACTGTTGATCAAGAAGTATGGGATCGCCTTTAGGTGGTTTCATGTTGTCAAACAAATCCCATTCAAGTTCGAGATATCCAAGATAGTCGCCAAAACGGTGAGCCTGGACCACATAGGTATCCTTTCCTTCAAGATTCTTTACCACAGTTGGATACAGACCCTCGACATTAGGAAGCGATGTGTCTTTTAAGAGAAGAGAGTGCGAGTGTCCACCAACAATGAGCTGGACTCCCTTGGTATTTTGGGCAAGATACTGGTCCTGGTGATATCCATTGTGAGAAACACAAATGATACGCTTAATGCCCTGGCTGTGCAGTTCGTCGACATATTTCTGGACTGGCGCAACAGGATCATAAAACTTGACATCCCTTCCTCCAGTGGTAATCTCTGCAGTTGTCTTGGTAATGTATCCAATAATGGCAAGAGAGTACTTTTCCAAGTAGATATATGGCACGACACCTGCATCTTTAAGCCTTGGCGCTGTCGTCAACTCAATATTGGATGAAAGAGCTGGGAAATTGAGTGATTTGATAAAGTCGGCTAGATAACCGACACCACGATCAAACTCGTGGTTTCCTAAAGACATGGCATCATATTTCAGATCATTCATGAATTCAGCAGATGGCTTTCCACCAAATGTATTGAAAAACATGGTGCCTTGGAATTGATCGCCTGCATCCAGCATCAAAACGTCCTTGGCATTTTTTCGAATCTGGTCAACAGCTGTTTTGATACGAGCTATACCACCATAGCAAGTGTTTGCGTCAATTTCTGCCTGAGAGCAGTCCACACCGCCAACATTAAACTGGTCAAGATGAGCGTGTATATCTAAAACAGTGACATGATAAAATCAGTACAGATTTTCGTGAATTGTCATCAATAGCTTAATATTCAAACCATATTGTCTACAAACTATGACTTGATGAAACGTAGTTTAGCAATCCATCTATTTCAACTCACCATTTGTATGAACAAGTGTAATTTTGTTGGGTGCGAATCCGTTTGGACGAATTGAAGTTCCAGCCTTTGTTGGAACAGCAACAGTATAGCTAACAGCAAGAGCAAATATGACTGAGAATAGTGAAGAATTCATGATTGAGATTTGGATGATGGTAGTTTGATATCGTGAAGTCTGCCATTTATATAGGAAATTCAGTGCATGCTTTCGCAAAAAGTGAATACATATGGTTTCACCCGCCCTGATTTCAAAACTGTAGCTAAAATGATGATCAGCAGATTTTTTGTATGGAATGCTGTGCGAAATACATACATGGCTGCTAAACTCCCTTTTTATCCCATTGCCACTAGCTGTAACTAAATTTAGAAAGTATTTGAATAGGATCTATAATTGGAAAGTTGTTTTTATTCCGACACTCCAAGTTTGGTTGACATAAACTAGTCATTTTTCTGTATTTTACGACTGCCTTTAAAATATACAATAATTAAACATTTTAGTGATTACTACAAATCAATACTTTTAGTTGAACATAAAGTCTATTATACAATGCAACTATCATTTTAAACCTCCCTTTTTGTATAGCCATACGTTATACCATCACCAAATTTGAACCAGATCCATTCTAATTTGGTGATTGAGTTTGGCTGGTTTGGTGTCGTCAATAGTACTCTGCACACACTCATTGTTGTATTCTGAATTTCAGATACGTTTGGATTCGAGTTCAGTAATGATTGTAAGTTTGGTTTGTAAGAAAGAAGAATTGGAGATTGAACAAGTGGGATTGCCTGAAGTTGTAATGTGAGCATTTGTTGAGTTGCTCCACATAGAAATGAATACAATGGAAATCAGTAACCTTTAGTGAGTTCAAAGGCAGTGCTGTTTAGCACATTTAGTGGAATTTGAAACGAGTATACCATGAGACTGATTGTTTACTATGCACCGACTCCCTTATTCAGTGTTCCAGTCGACGTGAATATGGCTGTAAGCCTGAATTACAGCTGAAAACAAGAGATGGAATGCTTGGATAGCTGTATAAGGGTGATTTGTAAATGGAATTAAATCTCGACAAGTCTCGCATTTACTACTACTATTAGCATAACCTCAAGCATACTATTGGCTAGCGTATATGCCTTGATGCCAAAAAAGTGAACCAATTGCTGTTATGAAAATGCAGCCAATACAAATGCTTATTCCTGAATAATTATTGGTCATTTATTCGTGTAGCTACCAAAGGGCCACTATTGCAAGCAAAAATGCACCTGCTGCTGTTGGGCTCTCAATCAGGGCTGCAACACGCCTTCATCTCCAGCAACCTGTGTTGGATCTACTACACTTGAACAAACCATTTCAATATTATCCAACACACTAGACTATTGACTGTCATTCAAAAAACCATATAAATCCTTGTATTTTTGTTTATTAAGATTTGTAAAGGATGAACTTGAATTACCATCAAGATAGCATCTATTTAAGCAATACACAATATGCATTTGAAAGAGTTGAACCGATCATGTCAAACTGTTTTAGCAATGGATCAGGGCTCAAATAAAGCATCAGAATCTCGGATTTTGGGGAAACGACCTTCAACAGCTGGCGTGATGGTTCCACGACGCTCAATGCACATTGCCAATGAATCTGCAATCAACTCGTCAGACTTGTAAGCAATAGGTGACATCATGTTATCACCTCCGTCTGCAATATAATCCAGAGTGTAGGAAATTCAGTGCATGCTTTCGCAAAAAGTGAATACATATGGTTTCACCCGCCCTGATTTCAAAACTGTAGCTAAAATGATAATCAGCAGATTTTTTGTATGGAATGCTGTGCCAAATACATACATGGCTGCTAAACTCCCTTTTTATCCCATTGCCACTAGCTGTAACTAAAATTCAGAGAATATTTAAACAAAGCCTACAGTCAAAAAAAGGTGCTTTATTCCGACACTCCCTGAATTGTGTTCAGATAAATGAAACACTCTTTGTACTTGATAATAACTGTTTGTTTTTTGATAGGACTAGTTGGATGCTTGTGCTCACTACAAATGACATTCTCAGTTCCTGAATAAACACGTCCATCATACGGTATTCACAATCAAACTCGTATTTGTATTTTAAAATATCGAATATGCTTGCGTTCTAGTTAAACAAAACAAGGATTACACATTCAGCAATCCAATTGGTGTTTTCTGTCAATTACTCAATATTTACTTGTAACTTTCAGTTTGAAGAGTCGGACAAATGGGGCTGACTGAAACTGTAATGTGAATGCCTTGTCAAACAGTTCATGGCACAATACTGTACGGTAAATTGACAATCATTTCATGATACTATTATACACTTGCTGCCTTGTTTAGCGTTTTATTTATATGAATATGGCGGTAAACCCCCAACCAATAAAGCACAAATCCAATGCAAAATGATTTTATTGAAAAATCTAGATGCTTGCAGTTTTAGTTGAAACAAACTGGTCACTTTCTTCAGTGGTTTGGGTCTTGTCTGGATCTGTAGGCCAAGGATAATTGGAAAGATAGTTTACCAAATTTGAACGGTCATGATTTTTTGAAATGACGGAAAGTGCTTGAAATGGTGTGACCGGAATGCACTGCGATTTTTGAAACTCCATTACTGATATAGTTTTTTCGTTGGCACTTATACTTGGGTCAGAGTTGGAATGTGCCACAATATCGACAACCCTGACAATAATGTATGACTCGCATACTAGCTCAAAGCCAATACACGATATTGCAATGGCATCCAAGATCATTCGGATCTGTTCATTTGGATCATTGGTGGTGTTGAGATGAATGGCTTCCAAAAAAATGGCCACGACTCCAGCCAAGTTTACCATAAATGTCAAGATTAAAAAAGTGGCAAGCCGATTGCGTGTCCACGTTGGCTGTTGAGTTGCTGGTCCAGCTTGATGTTTCTCCAACTTTCGTATTATAATAATGGCTTGAGAGAAACTTGTAACAATCACAATGGTTACGTTGATAAAAACACCGATAAATTCCCACTATCGAGATATTAGAAAAATAAATTATCGTGAACCAATATAAATGACTCGACGTAAATGTTGAAACGTACTGTTTGGATCCATGGAGCAGTATAAAACTTGATATATTCTGGCCAAAATACAATGAGATGCAAGAGAATGACTGCAACACGAATTCGTGTCTTGTTGGCATCTGTCCAAAAGTGCCAATGCTGCACACTTTTGTTGAAAAACGAACTAAAAATAATACGAATCTCAAGCTGAAGACATCCAACCCCACCAATAGAAAGCCCGGATAAAATGCCACGTATAATATGAAGCGTATCTTGACGTGGCAATGGAACTCCCGAGTACATTGATGCTATACTAATTTGAATCAATTGCAAGATAATCGACAACATGTTGAGAACAAACAAGGCCTGCTTGAGCGTACGACCTGCGTGGTTTTTGGAAAACAAGTCAAGGGCTAAACGCTTGAGAATAATCAAATGGCCTCCTATAGAGATTCCACAAAGAGACATTCCCACTATATTCAGCGAATTCAAACTCATTGTAAATGATCAGAAAATGTATGCTCAATTGAGTGGATAAAATACATTTGTGTAAATAACATATACAAATATAGATACACTCTATGTGATATATTCCGATCGATTAATAGCTTTTCACGTGGACATCCACGCACAACTATTCGATCAAATATGTAGAGTAAATGGTATTTTCATAAAATGACTCACACCCGATTAAAAAATTGATTTACAGTCGTATTCACGTAGAATAGAATATTAAACGGTTTTAATTTATAATAAATGGCTGGTCGCATGAAATGATTGGTATGTCTAGTGTACAACATTGTGCTCTTTAAACTTTTAATGGAGTTTACTGACATTTTGCTGATGGCTGGTATGGAAGCAGCTGTTGTATTGCCGAGATGTTCTCTTGTACTAGATTGCAAACATATTTGATATTAGAACACAGCAATGGCATGCAGTATTTTCAAACACTCGTGTTATTCTACACAACACTCCATATTGCTCATTCTTGAATCTTGTACAAAATGACCAAATGTTCAAAGTCAATTCGTGGTAAAAAATACAAATATTTAACCATTGTTTATTCCAGAGTAATGACTGCAAGATAAATACATAAAATATTCCACTTTACATGAATACAGCAATGAATAAAACAAGATACGCAGTCAAACCATGCATAACACATAGTGTAGAGTACAACGAATTAAAACTAGAATTGTATTTAAAAGTCCAAAAAAACTGCCTTGACCTTGATTGTAAATCTAGCAAGATAGTTGGTAGCGCTCTAGTCAAATGGCAGTAAAAAGCTCAAGTGCTTATGGGCAAAAGAGGATCGCATTCGGCAGACAAAGTATCGGTAGAACTGCCGTTTCTATTTGATCGCCTTGCACTAAACAAAGATTTGACTCGCATAACATAACCAGAAAACATTTTCTTATAGTCAGCTTTGCCCCGACTCTTGACAACCCAGTCTATTCTCAATCGCGCCTTGTCGTCAAATATTACAAATACGGCTGTAAGGACGGCTGCCACTGTTGAAATGCAGCAAGAAGCAGTAATCATAAACATGATAATTTCCTGGTAGTATACAGCATTTTCAACACTGGATCCGCCAAGAATCTGACCCGTCATCATTCTTGAATCATCATCAACACAGTTTGAATGGATTAGCATATATCAGAATCATGTGTTAAGCCACAAGAGGGTTAAACAGTGTATTTACCCAGGAATAGAAACAAGTCCAATAATGCTCATTGAATTTATAGTAGGCAGCAGCGCAAGCTTAATGGCCTCGACACAAACAGGTCGAGCAGCTTCCCATCGTGATGCTCCAAAAGACAAATGCATTTCAATACGATCTTTTTGATCAATTAGCTGGGTCATGACACTACTCAGCCCAATAGCGACAGCAGACATGGAATTGCCAAGCACCATTCCCATGGTGGGAATAAATTGTCGTGCAGAAAGCCATTGATCTGCACGAATGGCATAAGCATTGCCAATCCAACTGATGATAAAAGTGCTAGAGGCAATGGAAAGCAGCACTGAGAGGAACATAAATTGATGGCGATAGGGTGTACGGCCCCATACAATCTCTGATGCTGAAATAATAGCCAATAGTGCTAAAATAAAGCAGTAACATTAAAATTTTAATTACTCCAAGTACAGATTGATCACACTTGATCATAATTAGACTATAGTCATGAGTAGCTTACCTGCTAAAGCCAGTACAAAAAATGGACTGTCTATATCAAAGATTGGCTTTAAAATATATCCAAGAATTGTGAGCTGGACAACACATCTAGATACAAGGGTGGTTTGATTTAGTCATTGGTTTCAACTCGAGTTCAAACAACAAGTCATACCGAAGTGCAGATATAAAAATAGTGATTTCCAACCCAAGACCAAAATACATTGAGATGAGACCTGGATAAAAGACAGTCACAACATGAATGAGCATCAATAGCAATACAACTGCACTGCTGACCATAGCAAATTACCATTAATAATCAACATGAGTGAAGCAATCGCAACATTCTCTGGGCCCTAAATATTGTTGATATGAAGCCAATGTAAGCCATTACTGCAGTTTAATTCTAAACATGAATACAACAAGTACCAATTCTTTCAAAATATCATTATTTGGATTAGGAACCGTCTTGTTATAAGCATCTAGTCCCAATAATAGAATTGACATGACTTGAATAGATTAATGCCAGACAAGGAATTGAAGTTGCATGAAATCTAAACCTTTATTTTTCAATTGTCTTCACACCAAACAGAGCATCATCTTGCAGTAATTGTCTTGAATAATCAAATGTGTTGGTTTCCTATTAAAAGCCGAGTTTTTCAATGGAATTTACAATATTCACTATTAAACCCAGTCGAGAATCAAACATGGTTCTGCAGTGTCGACTCTAGACAATACACAGTAACTCGCAATGTTACTGCCAGACGATTGAGACCATGTCAAGTCAGCAAACTTTATGGGTTCAAAAGCACGCTGCACAGTAAATTGGATAAGAATTGGAGCCAATCAAACATGAGATTGTTTATCATGCATTTTGACACCCTTATTTTGTTACATTTTATAAAATATGATAATGATCAAACAAGCCTGTCAGAGCATGAATGCTCATGCTCTCTGCGTATATCGAGCATCCTTTATAGAAATCATGCATTCATGCAAAAGATTGCATTATAAATCACATTTGACCATCAGTTCACACAATCAGTTGAGCAGTCTTGGTTTGAAATAATTGTTCTATATTCAATCTCATGTGTTGATTTTATATTGTGTAATAGAACAAAACCATCAATAAAACATCGACAGTATAAAACAATATTAAAGCATACAGGGTTAAAATCATCCAATCAAACTCGAATCCAGGAATCAGAAATAGTCGAGGATGATTTACAACTTCAGAATCCAGTCGTCCAGACAGCGGTCACTTCGATGTTTCTAAAAAGGTAATATCAACACTTTTTTGGTAGTGTCATTTATGCTAATTCCAGTTGTAAAACATACATTCTAAATATAGCTGGAAAGGTCTATCACTTTTGTCTAAAGATGAATTGACAAAACTCACAGGACTTTTACCCATTAAATCAACCAAGGAACTCGTACAATCATTAAAAAAACACATCATGTCAAATCCTTCATTTACAAATTCAGATGGAACCATTAATTTAAAGGCTCCAGGACTGGTTGTCAATCAACTGTCAACTGCCTGGTACGTCTTGCTTGGTAGCTTACCAAATCTTGCTTATCAGTATGTAAACAACCAACTATTTTTGTGAATATCTAGGCCTGAAGACTATCCAAAATTCATCATATATGCTCTATGCTCGGTATTTGAAATATCCATCAGTAACAGCAAGGAAGAATTCATGGAAAGTGTAATGGTTTTTATCCTGAAAAGCAAATCCAATCCAACAATCATAAACGACATTTTTAAAAAACTTGGACTGCCAAGTAAAGACATTACTAAATCCAGGCTGACAAATAGTGATATGCAACTACTCGAATCAAAGTATGAAGCATGTCTTGTTAAAATTCATCACTCCGTGCTGTAAATCTTGAATGGTTTAATCTAATATATTTAAATAGGTTAAAGCAATGTTCTCATCAGCAAGTACAAAAAATATTTATTGAACACGATATACGTGTGGCCAAAACAACATCAGAGCTTTCAAACTATATCAATGCACATCTTTGGTTTAACCCGCATCTGTTGGGCTTGGATGGATCATTAGATTTGCAGCGGGTATTTGATAAAGGAGATAACGGCTGCAACATTCTAGATTTAAACAGGTATACTATTGTTTATGATTGTTTTTTTTCGACTGCTCTAACCCTAATCAAGTCATCCATATATCGAGCGCTATTGGTTGGAATCGCTATGCTATCTATTTGGAATAGCGGTGGTGCGTTCCAAAAGAGATTATCTAGAATATATATACGACTATATTCTGCAAAAAAACATACGTCTACCCAAAAACGGTGGCATCTTTTCTCTACCTGTACCTCCAAGTACACCCTATGGCAAACCTATTGCATCAGAAAAACCTATTCACATCAAATGGTCAGTTTTTTCTGGTACTTTTTCAAATTTTGACATTGGCTGCTTGATTCACACTTTGTATCTTGTGAGGCTCAATATTCATCATATATTGTCATCTTTGAAATCAATATAATCTAGTCTATCGTCACTGAGCTTTCCACGGCTGATTACCATTTTTACCCACTTGGGAGAAATTTATCACAAGAATCGAATCCAACATATTCAGGATATAGAGCAGCTTCTAAAAGACAATCCATATCTTGTTTCCAAAGAGGGTGCTATTGATTTTCAAAAGTCGGATTTTTATGATCACACATCAAATAACCCTCTTTTACAAACCACCATCATGGTTAAAGAGTAAGTTTTGCAACTAAAAATTTTAAATGGACAAAACCAAAAAAACTAATCAGTAAAATTTGATTGCTAAACCCACATGGAATGTTTTTGCAACGTGCAGTTTAAATAATCTATTGTATAACGATTTGAGTTGCATATCTACTCATCTGGGCTTGAGCGCGTATTTGGATAAAGACCATTTGATTGATTGGCTACGAAACTACTTGAAAAGCAATCCCAACATGGTAAAAAGCAATGGGCAAGTTGATGTAAAAAGTTTAAAAGATGTAAGAACATCTCAAAAAACGCTGTCTTTTATTCTCAAAGATATACGAAAGACTGTACAAACCCCTCATCTCAAAAAAGAAAACCTTGCATGATCAAATTCACCAAAATCAACCATCCTAAACCCATCAATATTTTCAAGCTACCGATTTCGTGACAAGAACCAACACTTGCCAGTATAGTTGCGTATGCTCGACAATTGGTTTGCACTGCTGTTTGAAAGATTCTCCACGTGTTAGCAGGCATATTCTGTTTGATTGATATATTTTTAAACAGAACCAGCTTTCAGTCATTGACAATAGATTTGACTGAGATAATTTGGAATCGTATAAAATAATAAATAACCAGTTATCACCATCAATTCATACCACTTTAAATTGAAATCTACCTTTTTTTATTTAATGCTACGTGGAATACGGCTGTAAATCATACTTCATTTTATATTACCGTTTAAACGGTCTTGAAAACCACATTCATTTCATATCTTAAAAAGCAACCCGAGTGCGCATATCCTCTAGTTTTTTACCAACATCGGCAACACTCCGATCCACACTTTCTGCAATCCCACGTTTTTTATCCCCAACCATAACGTTGAACATCTCACACAAGTCACCATCAATGATGGCATGAACAGGTGTGTAGAATGATCTGTAAGCAAGGTGGTCGCGACCACAGAGTGGTGGACATTCACTACGCATCGTCATCTCTAGTGTTTGGAAAAAGTCTACATCATCTTTAGAGATAAAGGGAATGAGAAGACCAATGCCTCCCATTAGGGTTGTGTAGAGAAGAATCTCGCGACCTCCAGGGACAAGCGATGTTTTTGTCAAAGAGGTGAGCGTTTCACCCAAAAAGAAATCCGCTTCGTGGTGAACCTAGATACCAAGCACAATATATTTAGTATCAAAAAGACAAATCTCATACTAATTGGCTTTTTGCACCAAGAATGCAAGTGTACCTTGTGTGGAGCACCTTGCAAATATCCACGATCAAAAATGGCTTGATTTCCAGTAGTATCTTCATCAATTCCTTTGGATACCTCGGCAGACAACCGATTAACAAAAATATTACCCATTTTATCTCCACCAACCACTGTATCGTAATCAACCATGCATGTAGCAGTGACCCATCGTGGAATAGTATCATCAGCAAAAATCACAATACGGTTATCAAAAGCTCTGTACATGGCATAGTGGACTGATTCCTGTGCATCGCCAAGAATTATGCGGTTGCCTTGGGTATGCAGGGTAACAATTGTCGTTGGGAATCCCTTGCACTCGCACTTGCGAAGCATTTTCTTTTTGCCTAAATCGTATATACGCAAGAGACTACCGACACCAACAAGAAGACGACCTTGGAATGAGCACATGACTTTAGGTATACCTTTAATGGGTGTTTTATGCAAAAACTCCAGACTTGTTCCATCAGGAGCCAGCTTGTAAACACGGAGGTATCCCTCTGTGAATGATGATGAGGATAGATTGACGTTGGACGCCGTACCCACCACAATATGTGTAGTGGTAAGACTGGATTGAAAAATACAAAAGGAAATACAAAATGCGGCCTCGTTATCGTCAAGATCTTCCAAATGTAACGTTTCGCCATGTATAGGACTGATAACTCGAATACAAGAGGCCCATCTTTCTGGACCAGCTTTGGAATGACCAAACTGTTCAACAGCAAGTTCTTCAGGAATAGTGCCCTCATCTGCATCCAGTGTGGCTTTTGTTTCAAGAATCTTTGCACGATCAGATGGGCAAAACACACCATGATCAGACTCAATCACAACAAAGTTTTGGCTAACCTGATCAAAAATAAACCTGCGAGGAGTGTATTTTAACGGAATAGACGCTTGCTTAAACACACTACCCAGTTTTTCTGTGTTTAAAATTCGCAAAGTGTTTCCAGTAATGGCAACAATACCCTCTGTGCACTGTTCAGAGCAAAAACTGGATCCATACTCGAGAGATTCATACGATAGTGGCATCAGTTTAGATCGAGAGTGATACGTAAAAGAAATCCATGGACGACTAGAAAGTGCAAGCAATCCAGTTTCTCCTTGAATTTTAAGTAAAAACAGCTTCACTCCGCGAGAACCAAGAAATCGCATGCGAGTATCCGACATATTACCAGAGCCTGAATCCACACACGTCTTAAGTAATACGCCGTTGGCAAGACCAATGTTCAAAAACAAGTTGGATACGCCAGTAGTAGGATCAGGCATATCAATCATTGCAAGCGAGTCTGGCGGAGCACTGAGCGCTTGCATACTCAAAGGATGAAGACATGACTCTGGATCAAGTGACAAGATACGCACTGTAAGGTCTGCACATCCAATTGCCAAAAATCTTGCACGGAGTCTTCCTGTAGGAATTGGAGACAGTGACAAACATAAAACTCGACTAGACATCTCCTTGCGATCCTGAAATTCGTTTAAATGGCCACTAACATCCAGCTCAAAGTATACAATTTCGTTGTTTGAAAGTGCAACAACAACTTGGCGCTGATTGCATGCAGCAGAAACAATGGATTGGTTTGTAGGCGCTTTCCATTCACTGACTCGTTTATCTGCACGAATATACCGAATACCTTGTGGGTAAACTTGAACAAGAGCATTTTCTCCCAATTGACCAACAGTAATGGTGGATGTTGTAGCAAGAACGCCAGTGTCGGTGACTTCCTCGACAGTCTCACCAATAGACAAAACCAAGGTAGCATTGATGAATGAAATAATAATATAAGAGTCATATATATCGCTGACTGACCGACGAACCGTCCAAATAGCATTTGGGTTTCCGGGCAACTCGGATACAGCCATCTCAGATACATCTAGACCATGGCGCAAGATTCGAAATGTGGATCTTGATCCGCGACCGCAAAGAGCATAGATTTGTGGAGAGTTTTCATCAGTCAAGTTCAAAACCTTGGCATCAATCAAAGGACAAAGGGATTCCATTTCATCTACAGGTGCAAGATTACGAAGTTCGCGAGGAATGAATGCAACCACAGGCATACTGTCAGAATCTGGAAGACTATCGCCTTGAGGAAAATCCACACTGCTGTACTCGACCTGAGACTCGTCATCATCACCCAGGTTCTCAATCTGATACAGATAATGGTTTCCAAATTCACTGGCAGCAAAAAGAAATCCAGATTTTAACAAGGATAGATTAACGGCAACGGGGATAGTGTCAAAGTATTTGATTTTGATGGCTTGAACTTGGCCAGCATTTCCGCTCGAGTCGGCAGTACACTCGACAGTGATTTTGAAAACATCGCCAACCTCTGTTTGAGCAAGAACAAAAAATCCACGCTTGAGTCTGTGAACAACACTAGAAACAACAATGACCTTGTTTTGGGTGCCAGGTATGACTGCTGTGGAAGTTGTGCCGTTGGGATCAATACCAGATGTGAGAGGATCTGGTCTTTGAGGAATAGGAACGCAAAATGAGGGTTTTTGCATATGCTTCCAAGTGATTCTTCCTTCAGAACAGACCAGTACACCAGATGGACCATCATCACCACCGGGAATAGCAATTAAATGATTGGCAGAAAAGTCAATCTTTTCAGTCCATTTACGAACAATGTGATTCAATCCAAGATCCAATTCATAATATGTGAGCATTTTTTCAGCATCTCGAGCAGCTTCTCCAGTAGGGTCCTGATCTGCATCAGAATAGTCGACTTCAATGCTAGCAAAAATGGGATTTTCGTATCCAACATCAACACCAATAATTCCATGGCAAATTATAGCAGTTTTATGTGCTTCCAGAGGAGAGGAAATGGTGAGTTTAAGAGAAGAATCTCTGTTGAGAATATAGGCAAGTTTCTGTTTTTCAATAGCACCAATCATGACAGCACGACCTTTTGGATCTGCCGCAAGATATTGACCAGGAACAACTCTACGAGCACCAGTCTTGCCATAGGTTTCCTGATGCACCTTGTCGAATGTGTTTTTTGCAGGATTATATTCCAGAATGACAATGCGTCCAGAATCAGAACCAACAACCAGATAATCTTGAATACAAGTGTTTGAATACAGAAAATAGCATTAATGATCAAAGTTTAATTTATATCAAGGACTGATCAACACACCTTTAGAAGCACCAGCCAGACGAAAAGCAGCAAGAGATCTAATCAAACCAAACACTTGATGCGATAAAAGAGAAACTATTTTCCCAGTGGAAGGATCGGGTCTAAGCAGTTCAAGAACAGAAGTGTGCGCAACTACGATTTCTTGAGACTTGATGCCAGAAAAGTTTCCCAAGACGGAGCAAGTGATGGCCTCGCTCTGCTGCAGCGTTAAATTATAAAGTTGCATTTTGGCGGTCAAGTTTGAGTTTCAAATAAATTTGAAATTTGATCAGTTGAAAGTCACGTGTTTATGATGGAGTTTTTACAATAAACTGTCATGAATTTTAATGAATTTTAATATAAATTGTAATAAACTGTCATGAGTTTTAATATAAATTGTAATGAATTGAATAGATTGAGTTGGTTCATGAATTAAATAATTTGAAATGTAAATTTAAATTAAATCGAGTGGCTCGGCAAACTCGTGAGGTTCCGATATTGATTATTTCCGTCAACTCTGTAATCTTTTGTTCCGTTGTTCCAATCAAATAGCTTGAAACTCTCATTCCGACTACCATTTCGGGTTGATACTTGAACCGCATCAAATTTGTTATAAATACTCGCTCTTCTCTACACACTCGCTATTTTTTAAATTCATTGCATGACACCAAATCCTTGCATCAATTCACGCTTACTTGATCGTATCGCATTGTTACCTTGGTTTATCCATAATCAGATATTCGCATACGCTGGTGCATACACTCAGTACATACATAACAGACTACAGCAACCACTTTCCCTTCCTGTACTTAGACTTATTTTTGCTGGATGTTTCGCCTACAATGATCCTCTCAAGGCAACTGCTTTACTAAAACAGTTTCCCAATTTTTCGCTTGAATGGGAATCACTATGCATTCAATCACACAGTGTACGCAATGTTGTTCGATTGCTTACCAACACTCCTTGGTCCCCTTTGAGTACCTTGTTGGACCTCGACCATCTCAACCCCGACTCCAGTATTGCTTTTCTCAACACCCTCCATAGTCTTGTGAGGAAATTATCCACAAATGCGATGGACGCTCTCACCTATGATGAAACCAATGTGGTGGCACGTCGAATTTTCAACATTGCATGCAAACTGTTGGATTATAATTCCTCTTCTACGCGCATTCGGGAGTTGTTGTTCGAGTGCGCATGCGCATTGGGCTGCTTGGAATTGAGTGTGACTCCATCTTTTGACATCACGACATTATGTTCCGGATGCATGCTTGCTGCTACAAATGGTCATTACAATATTATCAAGCATTTACTTTTAAATGCACATGACCATCACGACAGCTTAGCATCTGCCGCATTAAATGGTGCAATCCAAGGCGGTAATTCCTCGCTCGTATCCCTTTTCAGACGCATCTATCCCAATGTTATGCCAAGTGACTCTTCCATCCAACTGGCTTTACAGCGCAACCATGACTCAATCATCTGGCAGCTTTTGTCTGAAAACAACACTGCGTTGCATCTCTCTCCCGGTTTTATCAATCTTAAACAACACGCAGCGGCATGTGGTAATTTGGAACTCATGACATATGCTGATCAACACAATCTGTGTGATGATGACAGTATAGATGAAATTGATGGACCTGAGCCTGCTGCTAGGAATGGACATTACCACACTGCCGTGCTGCTTTTCAAAGGAAACATTCGTGCTGCTCGTCGAGCCTTTCATGTTGCTGCTACAAACGGACATGCTCAATTCATTGATCAGATGCTTCATGACCAACAAACATCAGACCCTATCGTGACGTGTCAAGACTTGTTAGTATCAACCTTTTTCCCCGATCATTACCCAGTTGTCAAAGTAATCATTGAAAAGGGTATAGGTGTTGATCACTTTTATATTCAGAATGCACTTGTTCAAGCTGCTACGCGCGGTCATTTGGATATATTTGCATATCTCTTGCCCAGAGTCAAAGACTTTGGTACATTGATCACTGCTGCCCATCAAGCATCGTGCAATCGTCATTCCTGCATCATCGATTATATAGTTACTCATGGCGGAGTTTGGGATGAGATCCTCGAGAATTTGTTTAATCAGGGCTGGATGCTAGGAATGCTGCCGTACATATCCATTCATCTCGCACTAAACTTGGCAGGTAAACCCACGCATTCAGCCTATGCCGAGATTGATTCAAAATGTTTGATTTGGTTCAACAGACATGCTCAGGGTCGGTTGCTTTGTAATGAGATACATGCTGCTTGCAGTCGAGCTCAAGCCAAGCATTTACATTCATTTACATCTCTGTTGTATAGAATGTTAAAATCCACTGTACATTTTATAGTAGATGATTTATGGTGGGCTGTAAAGCATGTCATGTCTACTACTTTTAAATATTTAACTGTATCATCCGATAAAAGCCAAAGCGTAGATACAGGTTTTAGCTGCAGATCAAATGTATCCAGCTTTAGTTGGATAGAGTCATTAGTTTGTCTGATTTTTTAATTTGTATTATATTTAAACACCTATTGTCCATATCCATCTAATAAATGCTTGTTTATTCGAATATCAAAGTAATTGAAGCTCCAATTAAAAACTCGACGATAAATACCAAAAGTATATTTGATGATTGGGTTTACAAGCACAACTTACAGTTAAAGACAAAAGGAATGGGAACGCAAAAGTATTTATAGTTTAGCAACTCAACTTCATCATGTTTGAACCAATTTTGACAACACTAAACAGGTTGATGTTGCAGCCATTTGGGAGCAAGTGTTTCAAGTCAATGTACAGACTATATAGGTGGAATAATGATGCTTTTGTGTTAGAACAAAATCAACCGAGTGATATTGTCTTGTATTCAATCGAGAATAGTAGTAGATTGTCCAGTAATATGGTCACAAAACACAATGGATAAACACTCGTGCCATTCAAATCAGCAAATAAACAATATACTGATATTTGAAAAAGAATATTATACAACCACACCTGTGAGGTTGAATTAAGAGTACTTTCTAAACACACAATACACGCTGATGGTGATGGTTGCTGACAATTCTTTATTCATGTCCCATTTTTATTCTCTTTTAACACCTGTAAACCTTTATCCATTAAATTGCCTGTGAATTGGCAATATTGGCATTGAGGGCAACGCGTTCAGCAGCAGCAGCTTCTAGCGCACCAGTCTTGGTTCGAACAGAGGCTGAATGTTGAACTGCCTCATGAGCAAAGAAGTGTTGTACCCATCCAGCCAACGCAGCACCAGTTAAATCACCAACCCAGTAAATCCAATGATGAGTCCAGCCTTGACCTGAAATGAGAGTAGGTCCAAATGCACGGGCTGGATTGAATGCACCACCAGATACAGATCCACCAATCAATCCAAGAAATCCAAGTGTAAACCCAATCGCCAGTGGAGCAAATCCTGCCTTGGTTGTACCTGATGTCGTGTAGATTGTAAGGTTGTTGCCAGAAGACTTGTTTTTCTCTCCTCCAGCCGTAGCTACTTTGACACCCTTGGTATCAACTATTCAAAAATAAATCGGTAATAACAAGTCAAAAACAAGACTGTTGATTTCTAGTTTAAAACGGGAAAACAGATCAGTAACATACCCGTATCAAAAGCAGTAGCAAAAATGACATAAACAAGGATAAACGTGAGAATAAGCTCCATAAAGAACGCCTGAGCAAGATGTGCACTAGAATCGATATCTACAACTAAAAATTCTGGGATGTTCCAAACACCACCGCCATTGACACCAGGAAAGACAGCAAATAAAAATAGGGTAGATAGTATTGATGCCAAGAGTTGGATACCAATAAACGCCAGTCCTTTACGCACTGATACTTTGCCAGTAATTACAGTAGCAAAGGTGACAGCAGGATTAAAATGAGCTCCTGACACGTCTGCAAAAGAATAGATAAGAGCTACAGATGCCAAGGTTGTAGAAAGTGCCCCAAGAACGAGATTTTCTGGATTGGCTTGTCGACCGTTGTTGACTGCTGTTGCCTCAACAATAAAAAGAAAAAGAAATGTGACTAATCCTTCACCAAAAATAGCACGAAACATCTACATGTAGACACGCAAAACATGTCAGTTAATGTATCCAACATCTGAATAGGTTCAGACGCGTAACGAGCTGAACACGACCCAATATTCATTCAAGATGAAGAAACCAAGAAATACAGAGTACATCTATACATATACTGTCTTGACTAGTACAAACTAAACCATCAGTTTCATCAAATCTCAGCAAAAACTTACAACACGCTTTTTTTCGTCCATTTCGAAACTAAACTCTTGAGTCTCCTTCTTAATGCCCAAGTACCAATCATAAGGGTTCCAGCTAAACCTTTCAGAGGGAGGAACCACATTGACGTCTTCAAAATCACCAGTAGGTGTAGGGTCAATGTCAATGGTAGAGTCCTGAATTTCACTGAATTCAGTTTTTCTAAACTCGGCCATGGTTGGAATAAAATGCTATTCTCACAGTACGAATAAATACAGCAGTTTAAAATTGAAATAAAACTGATTATGTAGTATTTATATCTACTTTTAGTCTATTTTACAAACACCTTGTCACGTGTAAAATGTTTGCGTTTGTTGGTTGTTCTGTCAACAAGATATTTGCATTGGGCCAGCATGGCATGCAATATTATCTTTAGGTAGATGTCTTGTAGTGCTATTGAAAGACTGAACCAAACCATTCAACTTAAATGCTGGTTATCCACGAAAACTGAGCTTACAACATGTCGCAAGTATACCATTTACAAGTTTATTTAGTAAAATAGACTCGCGTAGTTGTAAAGCAAACAGAAACCGTGCAGTGAATCAGTCCAAGTGACTGGCATAGATCATGAAAATTACGTATTCTTGCCAATTTCCACCTTTGCCTGAATACTGCGCTGCGTGGCAAATAAAAGTGCATCAATCATACCAGCAACAGTGAATACACCTCCAATAATCGCACACAGATCAGTCAAAAAATGAGTAAATGGTTTGCGAAACTCTTTAAACTTGACCAACATGGGCGATATTTCAAAGTTGAAAAACACTCCTATTATTGTTTAGTTATCAAGTACCAGTAGGTATAATGAAAAAGGTTAGACTTGGTTAAAAGTAAATACAATGACAAAATTGACACTTTCCTGGCATGCCGATGGGGAGAGCTCCAAAAAGAGGCGTCACATCTTGCTCATGTTCAGTAACAGAAAACTGATTTGTTGTCAACTGTGATCCATTCAAATAGCTGATATCAGTGCCAACAACCTTGATGTAGTACTGATATGAAAAATACTTTGTTGGCGGTGTTTTGGTTACAGTGTCAAGTGGATTAACAAATGAGCTGCTTTCACCAAACGAAAGTTCATGGATTGTGTGTTTGAAGTTGAATGATCCATTGGGAGCATTATAGTCGTGTAGATCGTGAACATGCAAAGCATTTTGCTGAAAACTGTGGCCAGGTGCAAAATGAATGTTTCCTTGCACCTTGTTAACTTCAATATGACCATATATATTGCAAGCTTCGTTTATTTGAGTTTCCATCCGTTTTGACCATCCTTCACGCACGCACTAGCATTTACAATTGATTCCAATCCAAAAACTGTTAATACCAATCAAAGAGTGTATAGCTTATTGATACATAAACACAATACAAGACTATTCAGCACTTTAAACTACCTGTTCAATAGAGTCAGGGTCAGTAAAAGACCACCCGCTTCGTTCATAAGCTTCCTGAACTTGCTCACAAGTATTGCAGCATTTTGATTCTGGAGCAACACCGCCATAGCAACTACCACAGTATTTTGGATCTAGAGCCATATCGCGAATTTCCTTTTTTACACCAGATGAATTGGTATTTCCAAGTTCTAGAACGGTTTACAAACAATCCAAATGAAGTAATCAGATGCATACTCGCAACTTGAAAGATTTAAAATAAACCAAGACTTACCACTTTTTTGTTTTTCAAGTAAGTTGCCCAGTTGGTCAATACGAACCTTGTGCATTGAATGTGGTAGATTGTTTTGATGCTCTCCAGAAACATCCATGACATCGACGCTTAATACTATATACGTTTAGTTGATTCAAAAACAAGTCGGAGTTGAAGATTAGATGACAGAAACAGCTTGAAAACAATACACCTTTCTATACTTACAATAGCAAGGCATATGATAAAAAGTGACATTGAGGTTGATATTCATCTTTTCCTTGCGACCTTTATCGACCTCGAGACTGGGTAGCATTTCTTTTTGATACCAATCGGTAAACTCTGAAAAGGTCAGGAATAAGATGACCAGTGTAGAGACCACAGTGACTGAGATGACCATCAATTTATTTATACATGAGCACAATTAAAAGGTGAGCATCACTGATAAACAGTTCAAAATCAATGCAGCTTCGCACTGACTAGAGAATAAGACATCTGGCACAAAACAATGCAAGATCTGGAGGAGTGAATGAACCAGGAGAATAAATACTACCTAAAGCACCACTAATAGTTCTGATACGAAAATCATCTAGTGGTTTAGCATATGCATCGTATTTTTTGAGGTCCGATAAGATGCCAGTAGACCCAGAACCACCAGTAGCAGAATTGATTCCACCAACTAGACGTTGACGCAATTCTGACATTTGAATAAAAACTAAAGGCATGCCAGAATTGAAGTTTGATGTGTTCATATCCTCATGTAAATCATGTGATTTGGATTATTATCAAGCTTCACTGCCGTATTCACACAACGCCAAGAAATGTTCAAATGTTCAAATTGATTAAATTCCAAATACTGAAAATGTTCAAAGCAATTCGTGGTAAAAAGTACAAATATTTAACCATTGTTTATTCCAGAGTAATGACTGCAAGATAAATACATAAAATATTCCACTTTACATGAATACAGCAATGAATAAAACAAGATACGCATTCAAACCATGCATAACACATAGTGTAGAGTACAACGAATTAAAACTAGAATTGCATTTAAAAGTCCAAAAAACTGCTCACAGCATACTGATCTAGGGTTGATAGTTTGGCAGTATATACTCGTTATTTTTCTGCACTCTCATCCTTTTTGTCCTCGTGTATTAAGCGTAGGATCGTGCTGTGAAGAAAGATGAGGCAAAGACAAGCTGGAATGAATTTTGATTGTAGTAGACACACTAACATCTCCGCCATACACTACTTTCTGTAAACTCCCATCGCCAATATGAGTTCCATGACTTGGCTCATCAGATGCACGCACTCGATGCTCCTTGAACAAATGGTGCATAATGCCTGGTTTACCCGACACGCTTGTATTGGGCACAGATGATCGCCTGACATTACTGAGAAACCCTGATGGAATTGAGAATCTTCTTGTTGGGTTATGAAAGCCTGTAGACCAGAGGGATGCTATACGCTGCTGAGGGTTGGAGAGTTGTGTAGTTTCTTTGATGGAATCAGATACAGCCGATGGTCTTTGCTGAGCAGAATTAGCCTGAAAAGGTAAATCCCATCCAAATATTACATTTTAAACAATAGCTAAAGTTAGTTCTAAAACAATGGCACTGTCCTATACAGTCATATGTGACTTACTTTAATATGTAGAGTCTGAGAAATCGATTGATGTGGAGTCCCACCAAGCGATTGACTTCTTTTTATCTGTACAATTGTAGATACGGGAGTAATTTGGATGACTGGCATGGTATCTGCGCTAATGCCCAAACTTCCCCTTTCAAGATTTACTTTGGTATCATCTCTAAAAATCTTTCTTTGAGTTTTGATATCAATCTGCTGGTTTCTTGGCGGATCAGTTTTGATCATGAGTTTTCTCAAACTGTTCCCAAGTCTCAGGTGAATGGGCTGTCTTGATGCAGAGTGGCTTGAAGCTGCTACGATGGTCACCTTTTCTAGAAATGGCCACAATTTGACTCCTTCTGTGGATGACGCTACTGTATGATCTTGTTTTTTCCCCTGCTATTCATTTGATATATTGGATGATTCAGTGGTAAACATGGAGCCTGACTGACCAGTGTTTAGTGTATTTGATGGTCCTCCAATATGAGCAGGAATACTCGATGGATTTGAAGCAGGACGCGTCGATAAACTCGACCCGCCATCTACAGATGCATGCATATACATTGTCTCTGATTCATTAGCCACATTTAAATGTGCTAAACTGTGATTTTCTGGTATACGAGCATCAAATGAAACAGAATGAGGCAGTCCTAACCGTTTTTTCAAAATGCAAATGAGTTGATCTCGCACTTGAACAGCCTTGTGAGAGCATGTAATGACTTGCTTTAGCATATCAATTTGTTTTCGAAGACGACCACCTTTTATAAACTTGTTGGCAACATTGAGTCGCTGCTGAAGCTGCCCAATTTTCATAGCCATTCCAGTGATCTCTTCTGTTGTTTCTGGTGAAGAGTAGTTGTGTTGTAGAGAATAGTCTTGTTTACTGAGCAAAGGAGGTTGAGTGATGGCTTTAGTGGCATCATCAATTTCCTGGATTCCATTTTCAAGAAATAAAAGCGTCTTCATTGATTCTTTAATCTTTAGCTCCGCCTGATGCATTTCATCTTCAAATACATCATTCACCCATTGCTGATCACATATGTCAGGCAACTAGGTGATCCCAATTGTGTGCATGAAAATTTGCAATGCCATTACAAATAGTTTTAAAATAACAAAAAATATGGTTAGTCATACTATAGAATGATTAGGAAAAAACAGTATAGTCGTTTTTAAACCATTCATCTACTAATACCATACTATCTCATTTTGGCTGGCCACATCAAAATCTGGGTAGATTCTTACCTGCTCAATTTTGCATGCTTGACGCTGTTCAGCCAAATCCATTTGAGCATCAATTGTAGCAGTTTGACAAGATATTTGACACTGCTGAAAGTCTATAATGGATTGCAGCCGATTTACTTTAGTATGCATGATTCGGTTTTCTTCAGTGAGGGTTGTCAGCAATGACTCTGTATTTGATAAATGTGTGGACATTTCCTCAAACGTAGCAAATCGCGATGTGCTTTGGAAAGAGAAGCCACTAGAACTCAAGGGTTGGGACTGACAAGACTCCAAGTTTGGATCTATTGGTTGAGTAGTAAAGGCGATCGGGTTGGCAACAGTGATTTCAGTGTAGCTCGCTGATGGAAATGGTACACGCTCGACGCGTGGTGTTTCTAATGCTGTATTGGTAGACAAGGGTGAGGAGATGCACTCTGGCTGGGAGAATGAACATTCAGTGGTATTTGGGGTTTGAGAGCGGTCAGGAAAGCTGTGTTCGGTAACTGACGTGGGAGTAGATGTGCTGTCTTGCAAAGAGCTGGGTATTGAAAGCACCACATTTTGATTAAGATGCGGCACTGGCACTGCCGACAAAGTATGACGCAAGACTGATGGCGGTTCGCAAGAGTGGTTTTTGGTTGTATTGGTGCTGTTGGGATTTAAATTCATCGTTGGTATCACAGATGGGTATGTATGTGCGTGCATATATTATTCAAGGTTGAATAGATATTGTATTGCAAACTTTTAATTATCTTGGAGTCAACTCTTGTAGATTAAACATGAGAACGAGATCAAGTATTTATATTTCAACAACCCAATTTTGCCATATTTTGAAAACATTCAGACAGCATCAATCAGACTACTGTTGCAGCATCTCAAAAACATGAATTCTCTAAATTACACGATTGATTTAGGTTAATGTAGACTATATAAATGAAACGCCGAGTATCGTGCTAGGACAAGACCAAACGAGTGTTGTATTGAATCGAAAGAAGCAGAAAGTTGTCCGGTAACATGGTCACGAAACACGAACGATGGATGATCATGTCATTCGAATCAGCAGACAATTTGCTAATATTTACAAAACATCGCCAAGAATGACAATTGCAAACAATTCGTTATTTGTCACAAACTCTAAATGATTCAAGGTGCACATTATTGTTCAGTAAATTTGACACTCGTCATTCCATAAAACTGTTTATTATACTTTGATACTCTTATCTAGCATCTCATTTGCACGAATACGGTGGTAAATAATTAAATTGTATTCAACGAATTACGTTCATAATAATGTGCTGCAACCTCATTCAACCATCCGACTTGCATTATCGATACATTTCGCAAATACATTCTTGAGGTATGTACCCATTCACTAAACATCACTGATGGTGCCTTGGTTCCAAATAGCACTGAAGATGGATGAATATGTACTGTTTGTCTACTAGCTAGAGTTCGATAACTTCCATCATGCTGTCGAATTGCAATATTTCTAAAAAATCCCGATAAAAAACACTTGATCACCGACTCATAGTCTGTCATGCATGATACGTTTGATGGAATATCCTGCTGATCACAAAACGAAATCAATTGTTTTCGAATATTCTATCCCAGTTTACATAAAAACATTAGAATAAACGCAATCTAAACCTTGAAATCATAATTACTCACCATAATCTGACGCATCGATCTACTACTAATGAAATTATCTGTGCACCATGATGCATCTCCTTTTTCCGATAAATAGGCTTTGGCTGTATTTAATAATGTAATATGGTCACCATCAAAGTTCATAAATTTGTTTCTAGCTGTAGTCGCCTCTTCACGCTTTTCATGGGGAAAGAAAAACACTGGATCAACTGAAAGCATGGCTACAATGGTAATAGCTTCACTAGTGCATTTGAAGATCTGAATATAAAAGAAAATAAAATGCTTGTAAATCAAACAGTAAATTCATGATTCAATCCTGTACATCATTCCCACCTTTGATTGAATCAAGACTTTGGCAAATGTAGGCTCAAGTGGAAAGCTTGCCATTTTCCTTCCTGTTTATGGTTTTGATTAGTTACTACATTGTCAGCACACCCTTAATCTCGATTAAAATGTAAAACTTACCCATCTCAGTCAGGTCACCTTTGTCATTCAAAGCACCAAGTGCATACAGCGTTTCCAATGCACCTACCACTACAGTAAATCAATGATATAATGTGTATCAGTACACACTCCAAATCAAGTAAACCGTAAACAATAAATTAAAACGTACATGATGATCGTGTAGGTTTATCCATAAAATCAAAATTCACGACATCGTTGATACCAGAGGCTTTCAAAAGAAGAAGGACGTTTGCAAGGTTACATCTACATGACCATAATTCAATCAAATGAGTAGCACATTACAGGTGATTCTACAAGTAGAAAATTTAAACTGAATGTTACCGCATAATTTCAGGTTCAGTTTCTTTAGATAGACCGTTATACGACGCTTCCGTGTACAATCGATAGCAAAATCCAGGTGCTTCACGACCTGCGCGACCAGCACGTTGATTTGCTGAAGCCTGCGAAATAGGTTGAACACTAAGTGATTCAATCCCTAATCAATGAATCGAGTTGTTGGTATAAAAAACTGTGGAAGCAACAGATGCTCGAGTGTTTGCAACTATATTAAACAAAGTGTACCTGATTTTGGATTGTAGGCTCGCATCTTGACCATGCCAGTATCAATAACATATCTGATGCCACTGATAGTAATAGATGTTTCTGCAACATTGGTAGATAGAATCACTTTACGCACACCTGGTGGGGCTGGATCAAACACTTTTGTTTGCTGATTAGTTGGCTGTGATGCAAAAATAGGACAAACAAGAATCTGCAAAGTTTAAAATGATTCATGTCAGTATTCTCGGCCATTCTACTTGTTTTACAAAACCCGACATTGGTTTTCAAATAATGCAAAAAATATTACTTTTTGAATCTCTGGTGATAGTGTTTTAGCTTGCTCATTCACCAATTTCTCTAGATTCTCAATTTCTTCTTGTCCAGTGAGAAAGACAAGAATATCTCCCTGCTGCTGTTCTCTGTTAATCTGCATAATGGCAACAAGTGCGGCATCCACATAATCTTCCAGTTTTTCACTCGAGTATAGTGTCTTTACAGGAAATGTTCTACCAGGCACATTGATAATCTTTGCACTACAATTAAAAAAGTTTAAAATCTTGATTAGACTATGCAAAATATGGCATCAACTAGGATATCATACTTGTTAAAGTATTCCGAAAAGGCCTTGGCGTTCAAGGTAGCACTCATGATAATAATCTTAAGATCGGGTCGACGCTTTTGAATATCTTTTACAGTGCCAAACAAAACATCCGTTCTAAGTGTCCGCTCATGTGCTTCGTCAAGAATAATCACGGAATATCTTGTCAAATTAGAATCAGTCAGAAGCTCACGAAGCAACATGCCATCTGTAAGATATTTTATCTTTGTTTCTGGCGAAGTAAAATCTTCAAATCGAATGGCATATCCGACTGTTTTGCCCAACTCGGACTGCATTTCTTGAGATACTCGAGCTGCAATTGAAATTGCGGCAACTCGACGTGGTTGAGTAACTGCAATCATTCCATTTTTTGTGTATCCCGCATCATGCAAAAACTGTGGAAGCTCTAAATAAAATGCATGGTTGATATTTAAACAAATGAGTTCAAGGTAATGATAGTAAAAGTCGTCAGTTTTACAAGTACCAATGAATTATTTACGAGTAGTTTTTCCCGATCCAGTTTCGCCAACGATAATTACAATGGGATTCTGATTGATTTCAGAAAGTAGCATATCCTTTGCTAGATACACTGGCAACTTTTTGCGAGAATTTTGAATGTCGGCATTTGCCAACCTACGAGTCTGTTTGGCCTTCTTTTTTTCACTATTTGACATTTCTGACTGGGCTGTTGAAAGCGCTTTGAGCTTTTTGATTCCTGTAAATGTATCTGCATAATCATCGTGAAAATCCACAACTTTTCCAGGTTTTGACTTGGTTTGAGAATCAAAGGTTGGTTCATGACTGGCAGTTGCTGGTTGATTTTGGGATTCGGAAATATGTCTTCGTGTTCGTTTCTTTCCTTTTGATGGTACAGACAGAGATTCTACTGAATCAATTGCTTCATTATTTTCTTTAGTTGCATAACCAGCAGCATCCTTGATTTTATCCTGGATCATTTGTATCTCAAGTCTGTCGATAATTCATGAAAAAAATTCCATTTCCAACCTTCAAAATCACTAGATTGCATTTTCACGTGACTTGTTTTCACTTTAAACATCAAACGATTCACTAGTAGATCTTTATTGAGTTTTTGAAAATGATTCGTATCAACAGCCTAATCGATTTAGTTTTTATCCATTAAAGACAAGTATGGCACTGTAATAAAATTAGCACGTTAATGGTTTTAAAAGACTACAATCTTGCCATGATACGACACTTACAAGTGGGCAGCAAACCATTCCGCTGATCTCATGCTCCATTGCCCGGTGCTTGCATATGTGGCACATGAAATGAATCGATTCAACAATTGGTCTGCCAGACACAATGCACGTTGGAAATGTAATATGACAATGAGCGCAAGCAGTATCACTAGATTTAAAACACGTCAGATTAGATTCTATACATGGTTTTAGTCAAACCTTCAAGTTTGTACCTGTCTTTAATTTTGTTCATGCAGTTGGTACATGATACTGTAATTCCCTTTGGATCAATTGGCTTGTATCTGTATATAGTAGTTATTCAATAATTAAAAAATAGACTACTGGTAGAAATGAAAAACAAGTATACTAGGTAAACTCACTTTGTAAAAATGTCTAGTGCAAGACTTTCAAATGATTTTTCAGCCTCCAATGATGATGCTTCGAGTGCTTCCAATTTGACAAATGCCTTGGAGCATGTGTTGTATCGTTTTGAGTGAAAGCTTATTAATGCAATAAGACTAAAAATCACCTTGGCATCAATAATGTCTTCATACTCTCGTAAATGCAATGCCTATATTATTCAAAAACACTCTTGAGTATTTGTGCACAAAGCACTGCAGAATCAGCATTCTCACCGTAACCAAGGCACTTTCGCGATCACCATTGTAAAACTGCCGCTGTGCCAAAATATAAAAATGATAAGCTTCTGCTCCATGCCATGCATTGTCCAAAAATTTGTGGTCTCCCATTGTAGCAGAATCCTCTGCAAGTAGTCCATCTAGTGCAGCCGTGGCCTGATACAGAAATTGGTTAGCTATTCATTTTGCAACATTCAAATAAAGTTTATTATACATACAGTCTCATGATGCATGCCTCTATTTGCTTTAGAAATACTATGATATCGTTCCACTTCAAGGGCAGCTAATACGTATATTTTCTTGATTTGCATGACCGTTTGTTCAGATTCAATTGCATCTTTAGCCAACTATACCATACAAATAAACAAGTTTTCAAAAATCAGAATCTGAAAAACAATCGAAAAATGCATCCATTTTAGTGCATTTTACTTCAAACAGTAAGCGCGCTGATTTCTGACAGTAGTTGGCTTTGCGATACAACTCGACTGCTTCCCATTTTCGATTCTGAGATAACAGATAGGCTGCATATTTTGCTAAAACAGAATCGATTTCTTTAAAATTGTGAATTTCTGCAAGTTGAACTGCCGTATTCCATTGGTTCAACATGACGCATGTATTAACAGCAGATGCAATTTCACCAATTTTGACATATATTGCAACTGCTTGGTCACATAGGCCTACCAATACAAATTTGTTTGCAATACTCTATTGGATCATGATAGTTGAAACAAAATTAGTGTTGGAAATGCCTAAACTTGCTACAATTTCACAAGGCACGTTTTATGCATGCTTACCTTTAGCAATGCATTGTTTTCTGAAAGACCAATGGCAATTTTTTCAAGACTCGCATAATCCTCCAAAATGTAATAGCATTCTGCCAAACGACTATAGTTTTTTCCTTGAGAATAATAAGTAACAGCTTGAGCCCATCGCTGCTTGTCGTAGTAATAATCACCAATATGATTCCATGCTTTTTCAAGAAGTTGATCGTCGCATCCACCGCCCCCTTTAATGAGTTGCACAACTCGAAACCAGTCACCCATACGAACTCGTAAATCAATCGCAAGATCTTTGCGGTCCATATCAATATACATTTTTTCAGCTGCTTCAAACTGATTACAGTATGCTGCAATCTCTGCCTTTTGTTTAGCCGGATCCTATTTTAGCATAAATACAACAAGTATTGATGTTTTTAACAGCCTATAAAGCGTGATTACTATGATAAAATGCGTCAATATATTTACATCAAACTTTTTTAGACTTTTGATGAACTGAAGTCCCTGATAGTCTTGACATCGAATAAATGCTTTTTGAGCCTGTGCAAAATCAAGTATTTCCAGTGCTGCTTCGGCAACAATCTTCCAAAGTCGTGGGTGTGGACGATCATCTACAAACTGAACAGCATTCAAAACTCCATTTTGGCTCAAAATAGCTATTATGAAAAGTTTAAAATAGGTTACATCATATTTACTATCAATGTCAAATGGCTATATTGACGTGATTGTACATACTTCGAAGTTCGCGCAAAGCTTTAGTTTCAATGTGGACAACAGCATCCTTGACGATACTGTCTGTGTCTTTCATGATATCATCGAGGGAGATTGTTTTGACCTGCATATCTCGGAAATCGCAAATATCTTGAATACATTTAAAATTAATCACGATATTTGTTTAAATTAAACTAATTGTGGTAAATACAGAGTTGCTTACATCCGGAACAATTAATTGGACTTTCGGGATCCATATTACGGAAAACATACAAACGGGTTTTTTCCATGATCGCAAACTGCTCTGGATCATCACTTGCCCACCGTACATCCCATACATCTTTGCGCTCAAACTCAAGGAGTTGACCATTATTGATCTAAAAATAGAAAAATATTGTAGACACGTATGTTATTGTAGATATTGTTTCAATTCAAATACAACTCGAGTCACTTACCATTGATCCAGCTGATATGGTTGCTGCATTAGAGGCGTCTTGAGTTGACGCAACCATTGTAGCAGACACCGTGTCAATAATATTTCCAGCAGCTCCTGCGCGCTTTTCCAAATCAAATAGTTTTAAAATTCCCGTAGCATCCAACAGAGAGACGCGAGTAGAGTTGGAGTTCAGTGCAATAGATACTGGATGAAAATTCAGTGTGTACTTGTTGTCCAGCGTAACAGACGGAACACTATATTGATATAATACGCCAGACTGTCGCACTACCATTAAAACCGAATCGCTAGACGCAATGCATGTAATACAATCTTTTGTTGGACTGTGACATAAAACAGCAAGTACAAGTTAGCATACATACATTACTTGTAATATAATTCTAGATATCAATGCATTCAATTTAATGAAACATACGGTCTCTCACGCAAATCCTGAATAGCAGTCCCATTTCCACCAGATCCAACAATATGAATGTCATCAATGTGGAACGCACGCTCACAAATATCTTTTCGCCGAATAGCTATAATGTAATCGCACAAATTAGTTGTATTCAATCTGACAAGTGTGAATAATGTCAACTATGCTTACCATCCAAAGCACTGATTTTACTGATAGCCAAAGCCTTGAACTGCCAATGTAAAATAATATCAGCGGATGCAATAAACACATGCGTCTTTGAAACAGATGCAAACTTTGGCTCAAAATCAATGCATTTGGTTTCAATTGGAATTCCAATGGCGTTATAGACTGTCAATACGCTTCTATTAAAAATCAGGTCAACTACCGTGATTCAAATTGGCTAAAAGCACATATTTAAAATATATACTTACTGTTGCGAGCCATCATCCGATCCGCTTACAATTAAACAATGATCATTGGCTGAAGTAATCATCAATAGTTTTTTGATATTCCTTGTGTGTCTATCATTTGTTTTTGTGTTCCAAAATACAACAGTCGACTCAAACATTTCTGGTTTGTGGTATGCATATACGACCACATCATGAGCAAAAAAAGACCATTTGTAATCTGGTCGAGTATTTGCAAAATAAATGAATGAATCAACTGCCAGTGCAATTCGAAGACCATCGTATTCCCACGAGATCGAGGTGATGCATGTACCAGGAACTTTTAGGGATCGGAGAAATTGACCCATTGGACTCCAAAACTGAACCACGCATGCCTCTTTTTCTTCTCCTTGACTATTACGAATCAACTGCAGGCCTGAAACTGCCAATACAGATCCGGTTGCATTCCATTTTATCTTGATTGACCTCATATTAGTGTCAATCAGCGCTGGCTCTGTATTTATGAATTGTTAGTTCAAGTGCCAAGATACGTTTCCACGTACCGTTTATTTTCAATACAGTGCATTACGGTATTATCAAGCCAGGTGACTTACTTGTATCTTTGTCATCGCGCATGATTTGGAGTTTACCATTCTCATAGCATATGGCAAGACATGGAATATTTTGTTCTATATATCCTCTGCTTCCATCATACCAATCCAATGCTGCCAGCTTGGAGTTTCCATGCGGATCACAATAATTGGATAGCTTGCTCTATTCAATTCAAGCAGCGCAAATTAATACTATTTCAAGTCTGGATACCAATCACAGCAAGTCACAATTCCTATAAAACATACCACAAATACACCTTGATTATCAAACAACTGAAGTTCACCAGTTCCTGTGCCAAATAAAAGGAATTTTCCATTTGGAGACCATTGTACATGCAACAATTGAGTGTTTTTTACTTCCTTTCCCCAAATACGATTTCCATCAACCGAACCAAGAATAACTGCGCCTGATACCCTCATTCAAATCAATAAAATAAGCTGCGTGCACAACATTAGCTTTTACTACAACTGTCGATTACTTACCGTCTTCGTAGATGATGCAAATTTTTTGTCCATCCTTGTTCCATTGCATGTCTGTCACAACACTCTTGTTTCTGTTGTTGATCATCTCTTCATACCACATTCCCTTGTACAGAATCCAAACAATAATTAACCCGTTTCCATCAGATGTCGTTAACTTATGATGATGCTTATTCCATGTCGCAACAAGTACCGGACCTACCAACACGACAAACATAAAAATTGATTAGGATATAATCTATAGTTTTGGAAATCAGTCAATTTTGATGACCTTGATGTCCTTCAAGAGTTTGATTCATGGAAAGTTGAGATGGAGCTGCAGCTCCATCTGTTTTTTTAGAAACCAATTCAGTATTCGAGGTGGTCGAGTTTAAAGCCAAGTTGAGATGTGACGAGCCTGGGTTTCCAGCTGTGTTGGATGTAACCCCACCAACAGATGCAAGTCCTGTACTTGGTGCAGCACCAGATGTATTTCCATGAGCAAGAGAACCAGTAATGTTGTTTTCAAGCTTGAGAACCTTGAGCAAACCATCGTTACCACCACATGCTATCCATCCTTGGTCATTATTCCATGCCACTGCTCT